GAAGGTGTTGTCTGATTGTTTTTGGTAGTTAGCAGGTAATTTATTACTGATCTGATACACAAACTTGGCACTGTCAAATGATGATTAGTGTTTAATTTATTTTCAGGAAAAAGGGAAGATAACCCATTATCAGCTGCTTACATGTCCCATCGATATTTGAATTTTCGCCATCCCCAGAGAAGAAGAGAATAGTTAGAAAAAGGAGGATTTTGAAGAAAGGAAAAAGGCAGGACCATTTCAACAAATTCTGTTAACTTGTATGCGTTGCAATATTAATTCGCAGTTGTTAGCATAAACATTTAATGTGTCTTTCGACTAGACCTACCACACTTTAAAAAAAAGCCGCCTACACCCCTTTTCACTAGAACCATAATACTGTAAAATATTTGATAGAAATTACCCCCGAGGCATCATATCTTTCATTTGAAAGGGCTGTGGAGGCAGATACATTTTTTACTCTAAATTATGGAATGTTACTTCCAGGTTATCTTATCCTTGCTTATAGATATCTTGAGGTTAGTGACTCCAACTGACCCATGCATGCCACACTGAAAATTCTCTTGTGTACCCATAAAATAAGGCTGTTGGAGCCTTCAGACCTTGAAAACAGTCGAATCTGAGCACGATGGATTCATGTGAAAACATAATACACGTAATATGCATTTAGAGGCAAAAATATCCCATCCTGAGCAGCACCGATCCACAACCTCCTGCCTATGGAATCAAAACATTAGACAAATTGGTGTACTGTGCGCATTCACAAATTTTTGCGAATCAAGTGTGCCTTTTGACTAAAGAAAATTTAGCATTGAAATGGTCAATCTCAATATCAACCTAGTATCTGCAGATAAAACCAATTGTTTTTTAAAAATACATTTTTGATGTGCTTTATTTTTCAAATATAATTTATAATTACTGTAAAGTGTGTGATACATTTGGTACCATGAATACTATTTGCAAATTAGCTTGGGTTACACCCCTCTCAAATAAAAGTTTAGACTCTTAAGTCGTATCTCATAATATTCTTTAAACAAAAGGTTGCGGCTAGCTGGCTACCCATCAGAATTTCCTTTCAGATCACAAAGTCGCAATATTACGCCTCGCTTAAGTTTCATTGGCAACTGTATCTGGTTGTAGTATCGGTGTCCAACGTTAGACTGAAACCTTCACGACCAGACCCACCGAAACAATTTTTTTTTCTTGATAGGGTCGTCTTGAAGTTGATTTCGTTAAAGCACAATGGACACTTTATCTCCACCAATCCACAGTAATGACAAGTTACTTTGTCATTACGATAAGCATCAATAAATGGATACTGAGGATGTATTATCAAGTCACGCAAGCTGAGGTCTTGTGCCACTGTGGTCTTGTTGCAACTTATACTTTGCCATCCATCTATTCCATGGTCGCACCCATATCTGTAAGATAATGGATACAGATAAGAGTTTTCATAAAATCTAACGATCAAGGAGTGTGAAATTTAGGGCTGGGCATTTTCGAATACCTTGTGATTTCAGAATCGAATCGAATAATTTTTTCGAATCGAATCTCGAATACTTGAAAATATAAAATTGTAAGCGACTTTATCATAGTAATTGGTCCTCTCAACAAATGAATTACTGAAGACATAGAATAAATCACTCAGATAGATTACTGAGCGTTCACACAGAATAACAAACACGTTTTATCAATAACTCACTACAGAAAATAGTCATATGTTAGAATTTCGTTGAAAAAATATGACTTCAATGAAAAAATTGGGGAATTCACCTCGACCATTAGCGGAAAGATAAAAACAAGATGGCGGCGATTCGAAATTCCAGTCTGAACCGATTCGAATAATTTACTATTCGATTCGAATATTCGATTGGAAATGCCCAGCCCGGGTAAAATTTATGTCCATATCCCACCACAGCCACTAGTCGTAAATGAATTTGATTCCAGGTAGCATATCTTTTTTACCAATGACAATAAAAAGACATTTTGAATCAGTTGTACAAGCACCATTAGGATAGGATTTATCTTGGGGGGCGGAGCCAGTTATTTGTTTTCAGAAGCATGGACTTGGATGGTGGGGAATGGTCGTAACCGATCAGCGGCCATGTGAACCACCCTCGGTAGGAGTGGAGCTGCAATCCTCTAGCACATAACTATCCCCGCATGGGATTGAAACCTGTGAAACTACCACTGTACCAGGGTGATCAGAGATGCGGTAGCGAGCGTATTCCTAGATGGCGAATTAAATTGAATTCTGGTTATTTTTTGCATGACCTTTCACACTTAGTAATAGATTACCTGCTAATCAGGAAACAATACCTTACAGCAATAATTCCTTACTGTCTTACACAAGTCAAGTCTGCAACTGCAAGTAGGCCCACGCCTAGGCCTACTAATAACAGTAGTTGATTATTAGATTAATTCCTTACTGTCTTACACAAGTCAAGTCTGCAACTAGGCCTACTAATAACAGTAGTTGATTATTAGATTATTGATTATTAATTCCTTACTGTCTTACACAAGTCAAGTCTGCAACTGCAAGTAGGCCACACCGTAGGCCTACTGATAACAGTAGTTTGTCATCTGCTTTCCATTGAAATGAGGGAGCTTGTGAATATTTAAAGAAATTGATAACGGCACACTATCACCACATTATCACTCACCATCAACGAAGTGCTGTCCGCAAACAGTGAAACACAAGTAAGATGGCTTCTGGACTTGACACCAAGCAGTTCTGCCAATAGGCAATAGATGAATCCACATTGCGTGACGTTCAGGATCTTTTGAAATCAGTGGAATATTACTGAAGATCCATTTCGTCCATGTCTATACTATACGTACAGCCAACAGAACAACGAAGATATTTTCACAACCAAACAAAACGCAAACGTATAATCCGACTTGCAACTGACAGGAGCCAAATGGACGTTTTTGTTTTATTGCCGTCCAGTAACAATGTCACGTGACCCGTGCAAGTCCTCTATAACTGAAATCGTTGGAGGAAAAGTTGTATTTATTCGACGAAATTGCCGGCTGACTCAACTTCGCTTCAATTGCCGTTTCTATTTTCTCGTTAACATTTTTCGTCTGGCAAGCTCCATAATGCCCTACTGCTTACGTGCTTAGCTCCAAGCCGTGCTAGATGAACAAATGACATTGTAGAATTGTTGTGGAGACATTTTACAGAGTTAAATTGGTGTATCACTATAAAATCTTCGTAGAAATGACCAAAAATGGTTATACGTTGTGTTTGAGGTCAAATTTGACGCATTAGATAGTTTTTTATTCTTACGTATGGCATTATACCAGGGAAACTCAACTGGCGAATCCGGACTTTGGAGTACCGGTACCGGTACCGGTATTTGGTTGAATTAAGCGCACATACAGACATAGGTCTACTGGACATAAGAGTTGGATTACAGGATTAAGATGGTTTCTCAATAAGTTACAAAACATGAACAATTTTAAGCATATGGGATTACGGGGAATACGGGAGATCATGAAACTCAAACAACTGGATTTTGAATTCAAGTCGCCGGAAGACTTACCGTATACATATTTATATATATATCTGTATTGTATACAGGTTCTATGGGGTCGAATGCCGTATCTGTAATCTTTTCAGCAAGTCGGCGCTAATTTACACAACTGAAACGTTGTCATACCGGACCTTTGGTGAAATTGTTGAGTAGCCCTGAACTAGACTATGACTCAGACTTCAGCGATTTGTCCCCTTTGCCAACTAACTATTCTAGTTTTGAAGCAATACATGCAATACCTACGACATAGGACATAATGCGTCATTATGAGTCAAACAAGCATGTTTCATAAAATGTCAACTGTGAATCCATTAAATCCCAGCTAAACCGCCGCACACCTCCAGGCGCTATACCGTACTCTTCCGGCCCGCGAACATCCTTTCAATTGTAATTTTGGCCCGTGGCCAGTAAAGTTTGGGAACCCCTGTTCCATATCTTCTTACATGCTCATAGTTTTTAGTCTGATTACATTATTACAGGGCTTAAATGAGTAGTTCAGAAGGATTGGGTGAGCGAACTTGTAATATTTTCTTCATCAATACCTTTCATCAAAAAACTGTACGTTTCAAACCTTACTAGAGGTATTGTTTTCTTTCCCGATTCTATAATCAGTTTTATTTGTTTTGTTTTTATCAATTACTTTATCGTCTATTACAGTATTATGCTGATTACTGATTTATGGAATCGAAATAAACTTATACTTATTGGGTGACCGTACATTTGAACCCATGTGTATATCCGTGGGTTCAATCTATATGCGGGTGCTAAAACTCATGTATTAGGACTAGTATTAACCTTATGTTGGGCGGAAAAAAAACAATTCAATGAGTACTGTTATGTTTTATCCAAACAAGCAGTGATCCAGTTATAACAGACTTTGCCAATGGAATCAATAGAAATAAAACTGATATGTTTTAAAAGTGTCAGCCAGCTAGGTATAACTATCAGACTATTGATTAATATTTTCCGATAGTTTCTTGCACCAATGCATATCACATTCCTCTAAGTTTTCAAGTTGAATTTAGTTTTGGAATTGCGTAGTTAGTATACCGGTACCTGTAGAAATGTGGTAGTGTAAAACAAGTTACAAAATATTTCTGATTTTCTTCATTACTAAAATGACTCTCAATGTAAAATGAAGATACCATACAGTACAATTCAAATATTTTTTTCCAACTTGATTGAATTCAAAATATAATGACATTTTTTTATTAATAAATAATGTTTCAAAATTAACTCGATTTTGGCTATTACTGCCCCATATATTATGTAGGGCTTCCATGATTAGTTAAGGTTAGATATATTTAATTCTTTTTTTTTTTTTTGATTCTTTTTATTTTTTTACTTTATTAGCCAAAGTCCTGTAATATTCTGTAATATTTTTCCAAACAGGCCTATTATATATTCTGTATATTTGTATAAATCGTTTTATTGGTTCATCAATATTTATTTTTATTTCTCAATTAATATAATTGTGCAGCAGAACTATAATTTAGCATTATTGAACTATCAAAAATGTCTGTTTCGCTTTATAATAAAGATCCCCTGCCTCCACCTCAGCCGAATACAATGTCGATACATCAGCAACAGCATGCACCTGCCACATCCAATGATGCCTGCCTCAGTATAGTTCATAGTTTAATGTGTCACAGGTGAGTTGTAAAGTGGTATAATGACAAAATGTAATCCTATTTATCTTTTTATTTCATCAATTTCTGAAAAAAAATCCGGACACTTAGAACTATATTCGCGTTCGTGGCTGATTTTTTTGAGTTTTCACCCCGTTATGCTAAGTAATTCAAGAGCCCTGCTGTGCACTATCACAAATGTATTCCTGAAATATTTTGTCTGAGCAAAGTCATACATGTCGGACAAGCAGTTTATAACAATGTCAAGAAATGAATCTTGTTTATATTAAAAGATTGTTTGAGTTAAATGCAACATTATCCATTTAGACAAGGTGGTGAAAGTGAAAGTTTTGCGAAAAGAGCAATTGAAAGTTTAGTTAAAAAGTTAAAAGAGAAGAAGGATGAACTAGAAGCACTTATAAATGCCATTACAACTAATGGAGCGCATCCTACTACTTGTGTCACTATTCAACGTACTTTAGATGGGAGACTTCAGGTAAAGCTTCACTAAAACACTTTTGATTGCTTGCTAAATATCGAGTGGAATAGGAGAGGATTTCCATATTTATCCCAGGATCCGGGAGAGGAAAATCGATAAGATGACCTAATCATGTGACATACCTGGATCTCTCGTCCGGTTACCAGTCTTTTCTTGGTATGGGATTAGTTAGCCATTTATTTGCTTCAGATACATGGACTTGAGGATAGAGAAAGCCATAATCGACCAGTGGTTATATGAACCACTCATACAACTGTGAGGAGTCCAGCAATCATCTTGCACTTAATTATAGCCTACAGGATTCGAACCTTTGAACCCACGCTGAGTAACTTGAGCGGGCAATGGTATTATATTGACTGATTCAAATATTCTTTTTTTTTATCCAATTGTAACTTTGATTGTATACCTGACTTATTTCAACTTCAACTTATCATTTTATTTTTTGTTTATAATGGTATAGTGCTGACAGTGCTGATTTATTTTAGGTTGCAGGAAGGAAAGGATTTCCTCATGTGATTTATGCAAGACTTTGGAGATGGCCTGATCTTCATAAAAATGAACTTAAGCATTTGAAGACTTGTAAATATGCATTTGATCTCAAGTGTGATTCTGTATGCATCAACCCATATCACTATGAACGAGTCGTATCACCTGGGATTGATTTATCTGGACTAACACTGCAACACACAGGTTTGAAAAATATTTTCACTTCTAGAAATGTTCAGACTTTAGACATTTAGAGGATCTAGATGTCAACTCAAAGCTATTGGATAATGTAGGGGTAACAAAAAAACAGATCCCAGATCATTTGGATAATATTCTAGAGAGAACATAACTTTTGTGCAAAGTGTTCTAGATTTCTGAACCTTTTCCGGTACAATCGTACACAAACAATCATAAAGTTTTGAATAGTTTTATTTTTTATTTTCTTAAAAGTAAGAAAGTTACGGGATCTGTATTTTGACGCAACCCTGTATGTACAAATTTCACTTCAAATTGCGGAATATACCAATACTAGTCTAAGAGAAACCTAGTTTGGAAAAAATTTGATGTGTTTGTATATTTAGTAGCCTATCGCACACTATTCTTACCTAATATTGTATTTACCAGATTCTAGCTGTGATATGTTTTTGAAAACTTTGATGTATTATGACCACCATTTCCATTAAAATCATAAATTAGTTTTTTTTAATTACCTTATATCAATACAACTATCAAAATAAGGTGTAATACAACTATGGTAGTAAAACAAAATCGTAAATGTGTGAATTAGCAAATGTTCAATTTCGAGTGGGATTGGCCTTGACAGTTTATAACATTTTATTGTTGGCGCAATGCCAATGTAGATAGGTTCAACTACTCGGCAACCTTGTCTAAATGTTATATAAATTCATTGCATATGGGAACAGAATGTTGTGTTTTTTTCATCTTCATTACTTACTTTTCTTACTCTAGCTCCCCCAGCACCGTTGATGTCTATAGACTACAGAGACATGAAGGCTGAATCAAGTGCAACTCATATACTGGGAACATCAGATGGTTCAGGAAACACAATACAACATTCTGTCAATGATTACAAAAATGTTCCAGGTATTTTTCATTGTAAATGTGGAATGCCAATGATTTTTGAACCTATTTAAAATTATCTTTCAAATGAAGCTAATTTTTAACTTCTCGTGTTGCATAGGAGGGCCTATATGTAACATTACAGTATCGTGATCTTTTGTTTAATATCACTGAACAAGCTCCAGTACAGGTTGCTTTGAGAAATATTCACTCAGACTGGAATTAATGAAATACATTGGAAGTTCTAAAATAACAAACATTTAAATTTATGTAAAAAAATGTGTATTTTCTTACAAACCATGATTTCTTTCTCACTGCAAAAGTATGTTTGGAACTATGTTTACCAGTTGATTTTTCTTGTTTCGAGCGCTAATCAATCAATAATAATTGATGGTAATACTGCAGGAGTCGATTGATTATGTCTGTTCACTTTCTGAGTATTGCTTATAAATTATGATACGAAATTTTTATATCTATTGGAAATGCCTGATTGTATAATGTTATGTTTCAAAAAAAAATGTGTATGTTATCTGGTATTTAATTTTATCATTCTTCACAAAAGTAACACACAAAAAATTATTGAGAAACTCATTTTCAGAAATGTTCGTAAACTTTTCTTGATTTTTGACCATATATAATATTATGACTATTAATTTGTTATATTTATGTGAAATAATTCATGGCATACTGTGCTTTTTTTACTTAAAATCAAATCATACTGTATATTCAATATTTATTACTGGAATAATAATGTAGATTTTCACTTCTTAATTAATATTAAATAAACAAATATTCTGCAGGTGGACTGGGTGGAACTTCATCAAGTACACTGGGTTATGCATCAACAAACAATACTATGCTACCACCTTCTCAGGGTGTCCCCAGTGCATCACAACAATTGATGGAATATAGTCAAAGAAGTAAGTTTCATTCACAGCATATAGTCATAAATTGAATGATTGATTGTATAAATTCAGATCCACAATACTGACTACAAACCTTACAATTTCCATCTATTGTTTCTGAATATTAGTTTTCCATGGATCTGTACATTTTCAATAGACACGTTCCTACACTGAGTAAGCCTGGTCTTGCAAATATCAATGTTGAAGTCTAAAGAAAGATACTTCGGAAATAGTACTATACCACTAGAGCTGTCAGCAGTCTTGTTTGCATAACGTATTATCATATTACAGGATGCTAATAAAGAATTTTGAACGAATTTGTTTTATCATTATTTCATAATCTATTCATGATTAATTGTTGTTATATTGGCTTGATCAAATAACTATAGTCTCTAGCAGACATAATTTCAATTTTATCTAATTGACATAATATTATTCTTATTGAACCAATCAATGGTCAAAATTTTCTACTTCACTATATTTCTCAAAGATATAGTGGAGTTTAGGAATGGAACTTCGTATATCACTCGAGGTATCTTTGTTGGTATTTTTTGACTTATTTCCAAATCAAGACATTGAAATAAAAAAAACGCACACGTTGTTGACTTTGTTATACAAGTACTAGAAAGTTATATTTGCTCTAATTGAGCTGAAAACTCAAAATAAAAATATCCAATTTATAATATATTATGCTTCAATTATATTTCATTCCGTATAAAATTGAATTTCGTTATTGTTAACAGATGGCCAAATGAACTGGTCAAGCAGCACAGCACGATACACACCTGACATGTCTTCACCAGTTAATACACCATACTACACACCCGGATCTGACATGAATTATATGCCAATTTCAAATCACCCACGTGAGCAATCAAACTTTTGTTAGCCTAAATAAGATACTTGTCTAATAATATTTAACTTCTATTTATTTATGATAATAAAACCTGTTTTATTTATTAACCAGCTCCAGAATTTTGGTGTTCAATAACTTCATATGAGATGGATGTACAAGTGGGTGAAACATTCAAAGTTCCTGCATCATGTCCGGCTGTTACCGTAGATGGATATGTGGATCCTTCTGGTGCGTTATATTTCTTTTGTTTCATATTTATTACTTATTTTTTGGAATTGAATCCTACTATACAACAGCTAATATTTCAGGATCCAGAAGACTGCGAGTGATCTTATATCAATATAGTTCTTATTATGACAGCTGATAAGTTTTAATAAAATGCCAAAAGATGTCTTAACATTCTAGGTGGTGATAGATTTTGTCTCGGGCAATTGTCGAATGTTCACAGAACGGAAGCGTCAGAGAGAGCAAGGTCAGTTTTCAATTTAACATCCATCAATGACGACAAATCACAACTAATTGAACGTGGTTAAAATCTATTCAAACCATAGTATCTTTCAGACATTACTTTTGTCACTGGAAATTTTATTTTTGTTTCGTAATTGAGATTGATAAAATTGGTACTTTGGGGCTAGTCGAAGTGATATTGCCTGAGAAACATTCTATTAGATCAGGGGTCGGGAACCCATGGCTCGCGAGCCATATATGGCTCTTTTGGTGACGCCATATGGCTCCCAAAAAAATCTAATATCCCAAGACTAAGCTTACTATTGTTACGAGATTTCAAACTCTTTTATAGCCAAATTTGGCAGGAAATTCCCAATACGTTTGAGAAGGCGCGTCCAGCACATGTCTATGTTATGTAAGATAATTACCAGACAGGCATTGTGACAAACAAGGGGATTCTGGAACATATATTGTGACATCACAAAGCGATAGAGTTTTAAAAACACTACGGAGATACCTAAACGAAAAAGGGCGATGAGTATCGTAGATTTCAACTTGGGCTGCATGTGAGCAACCAAGGCCCGCAACGACTACATGCAGCATCAGATAATCACATTAAGTGTATACTGACATTGTATGTGTTGACTTTTGAGTAAACATTTCAGGCCTGATCAAGTGAAGAAATGTTATATGGCTCGCACGGAAATGCAATTGAAAATATTTATATTTTATGGCTCTCTTGACCAAAAAGGTTCCTGACCCCTGTATTAGAGAAACATTCATTTAATCTTACTACATAGGAAGAATTTTTCACATACTGTTTTTTTCAAAATGTTTCTCTGTAATATGCAGCCTGGTTCAGCTGGCTTTAGCTTGGTGTGTTTTGACTATTGGTGAACACTTGTGCAATATGTTTTTCCATTTATATCTCAGGTTACATATAGGAAAAGGTGTTCAGCTAGTATGTCATGGTGAAGGAGATGTCTGGGTGAAATGTCTGAGCGATCATGCTGTTTTTGTTCAAAGTTATTATTTGGACAGAGAAGCTGGGAGAGCACCTGGAGATGCCGTTCATAAGATTTATCCGAATGCCTATATTAAAGTATGTGTGGAATATTCATGAAGGAAATTAATTTGTCATTCAATAATTCAACGCTATAATCGAAATCAACAACAACAAATGACAATCAAATTAAATACGATGACATTCAAATGTCATCATATTTACAAAAGATTCTGATCCTGAATGAATGCAAATGATAAATATAATCTGATGAATCTGAAATATAAGTCTACATAAATTGAATTTCCATACAAATTGTCTTTATGTAGCAATTTTAAATTGATGAATATTTGAGTTATCTAGTTTAATTTCATTTAGGTGTTTGATCTACGACAATGTTATAGACAGATGCAACAACAGGCACGTACCGCACAAGAAGCAGCAAAAGTACAGGCGGCAGCAGTGTCAGGGAATATACCTGGTTCTGCTTCAGTTGGTGGTATTGCACAAGCAGTCGGTATGCAGAATATATATATAACTCTATACATCTAAATCTATCTCATTCACTGAAAAATATTCTCGTGGCATAACATGAATTTTTAGGTAAAATTTGTTTCTCGACAGCAAAAGCAGTAATGCTTCCATACCATTCGGATCTGACTTAGATGCTTGAAATTAAAAAATCATTCAGGATTCTGTGTGTGATACATTACTTTTTTTTATGTAGGTACACCTGGTTTATCAGCAGCTGCAGGAATTGGAGTAGATGATCTTAGAAGACTTTGCATATTAAGAATGAGTTTTGTTAAAGGTTGGGGGCCTGATTATCCACGACAAAATATCAAACAGACACCTTGTTGGATCGAAATTCAACTTCATAGGTATGCAATTTTTCAAACAAGCCCTCATATTGAAGCGGGAAAATTGTTGATGTTAAGTGGCCCCTGGAGTACTGAGAAAATGTGGGTTGTTGCAGAGAACATGATTTCGTCATTTATCAATGTGTATTTAAATAAGAATCAACTTCGAATAAAACTGAGTTTGTTTTGAGTTAACTTCTATATCTCTTCATTGGGTACTCCCATAGTATATGTACCAGGTTAAAGTTGGGCCATAATTTTATTCCGTTTTTTCTTAAGCTTCCCGGTCAAACTCGGAATTTTTTTTAGTTCTATTACAAGTTCGGGGACTGTCTGTGTCAGCCAAGTTAATATACCCCCTGCCCATAGGTTTCAGTCCCTTTATACAACTTGGATGTAAAGTAGGCGAACAAAATTAGTTACCTCCGTATTGGTACACACACTTCTGGAGCACCCTTCATTGTATTTATTATGTGTGATAGAGTGCTAGGTATGACATGTTTGTAGTAGTATGCGACAAAGCAGGGTCCACTGTAACCTATTTCATATGATTTTTTGTAGAGCACTACAACTTCTAGATGAAGTTCTCCATACCATGCCAATTGCCGAACCGCATCCACATGATTGAAAGTAATGATGAAAGTCATGATTCAAAATAAAAAGGCTCAGATTCAGCTGCAATCTGTCCAATGCTTTCAACTGCGATATCCGATTGAAGTATGAATACCATGCAGGACCTACCAATCAAATAAATTATATCAACAGAATATACTTTAAGAATTCCATAGTTTCAACTGTACATATATGTGTGTGCTTTGTGAAGCATGTCAATGATACCCAAGTTTCATTCTGTTCCTGTCGACAGTTTTTTGGTCAATGACAACATCATAGCACCTGTATTACCATTGCTGGACCATTTCTGATAAATAAATTAGACTTTTCTTTTCTTACTTTACCAGTGTAATTCATTCTTGACTGGCTATCAAATAGTTACTAGCGGTTTGAAATCATTGTGCAACATATTTTGTATCTTCACTGATCAATCTAGTACAGTTTAGCTATTTTGTCAATTCCAGTTCTGATGTTATTTTCCCTGCATAGGCCCAGTGATTCTTGGCTTTATGATATTTGCTATTCTTAAACTTAAATATATATTCTGTGACTGGAAATGCTTGTGATTTTGTTCATACTTGTTTTTCATGTTCATTTGCCACCTTATAGTAATACTGAACATTTTTGCCAACTGAGTTTTCCATAAGTTTTTGAGTTTTTATTTCTTCATTATGTTGCACTATATCTTATTACCTAACCCTATCAGAGGTTGTCCTATGCTCAAGCATTGTGCTGGATATAATGTCTTGAAAAATCCAATCAACATAAATTTTAAAAACTGATGACAACAGAGGATTACTAATATTGGGACTAAGCAATATAAAATTTGTAATGATTGTGTAAAAAAGCGCTTGTTAAATATAGTCGGTCACATGATATTTTATATGTTCCTTTATTCATTTCATCCTCAGTTGAAGGTAAATGCTTGACTGCCTTACGCATCTTGGCCAACTTCTGATGGGGCCTGTACTTATTTTCAGCATTATGGTATTATTCACATTTGTTGTCATTCTCTTATTATTTTTTGGATGGTTAATAAGTAATTGATCATTGCAAAATAAATCATGGCTGTTGTAAACAGGTGGTCTAGAAGTGTCTTTTTATACGGCAGTTATGAAATTCGACACTTTTAATAGTATCGTTTGTTCCAAACTACAAGCGGCAGAAAATGAATAATTCAAGCTATCATGAACTGCTTTATCCGAAACGGTAAAGACCGGCTCATCGCTTTTTCGATCCGGCATAGTTCCCAATTCCAGACGCTGGTCTGTGTGAAGTCGTCGAAATTATAACTAGCCTTGTATTATGAGATGAAACGCCCATAGGGCGAAAACTTTGTAAATCCCGAATGCTGATATACAACAGGCATGTCTCGTGCTTTATTTTATAGCATATTGTCGCGCCGATATTTGAGTGCTGTAGAGGTAGTGACAAATGACTTGAAAATTCTGAGATTACTTTGTTTACGAAAGAGAAAATCTGCATCAGATAACCAAAATATCCGTTGTTTACAAAATTAGAGTTGTCTTATTTACTCGTTTATACTCCTGTAAAATCATTTTTCAGTTAACATTTGATTCTCAACTCTGGCGAAATTGTAATCCGGTAATAAAGAGTACAGGTATCAGATTAAGATTATTTCGTCATCTTGAGTTCCAGTTACATATAAAAATTTACTATCGCTCTGTCACGTCACGTTCTGAAAGCAACGCCGTGCCTGGTTTATAGCGTCACAACAGTCATGAATATTTTCAATTTTGGCAGTTGAAGGAATCGTCATTTGGGTCGATATTACTGTTGTCATTGGTTGTTGCGTGCTCTTACGCCGCGGCCACGAACCTTTCTAGTGAGAGGCTTATTTGAGAAATTGTTGGCGCTCGTTTCTGGGATTGAATTGGTGATTGGATAACTGAACCAAAGCCATACGTGTGCATCATTTCTTTTAAACGTCACAACCCGATCATCATCATTCTGCTTTTTAGATGCACAAAAATTATGTCGATATACTCCTGATTTTAAATCATTTCGAATGGTGTAAGCAGCCGTGAATGTCCCCGATAGTGTTGTGTTCTGTATAACAAGACGGATAAACCTATGTAAATCGTGTTCAACGTACGGCACATTGGAGTGAAACTATCAATCATTATTAGATGAAAATTACTATATTTCACCATGAATATCCACTATCCCGCGTTTAGCTCAGCTTAAGTATTATTAAAAAAAGTCTTTGCAATGCGTTTGTCAATCAAGAACGACACGTGTTCGGATAACTATGTTTAGTTGTTATACTGGTGGAATATATGTGGCTATAACCAGTGGCACACTTAAGGGGTTGGTGGTTGATACCCCTTCAATAAGACATGTCCGTAAGATCCCAGAGTAACATAGGGGTTCAGCAGACTCGCAAATTGCATTGTTGTCTCATGCTTCAATAATTACTTCAGGTTGCTCTCAAAACTTGAAGCAATTGTTATATTTCATCGATATATTTCGCACTCGATGCATTGAACACAACAGGTTGCACATTGATATCTTAATACACCATACATTGCGTAGTATTTTTTGACGTCTGACGTCTTGCAAACAAAGACATTTTTAAATAAAATATGGAAACCATGTCTGTCATTTGTAGTAAACTTTAGCCATATCTGAAAACTTTGATGCAACCAAATTTTAAAATACAAGATGTCCGAACTTTCAAATATATTTTTTACAATCGTACATATATATATAAAACCACGATGTTATTTGCTGGTGCGAGTAGGCTTGTTCGAAATTATTAATTACCGGTATGTGCTTTCCCGTCGCAAAAAATCGAACGTGGCGAACGGCCCAGTGACATTTCCGATGCGATAAGTTTCAACTTTATTGACCAGAAGCTGTGTTATCTGTTGGAAAATTAGCGGAAGCACTTGAACTTCCGTCGCTAAAGAACTTGAGAAACAAACATGTTAAATGTGGTCAACTCTTGTATTTACATGATCCCAACTTTGTGAAATGTCTTGTTAAATATATTAGTGCTTTTGATATTTTAACACATTACATCAGTACATTATATATTTATCAATGTTTTTATAATTTATGCTATACTTACTATATATATATATATATGTTATATCGTAAATATATACTACTACGCAACGACTAACGCCTACTACGGTTATATTCACTGAATTGACAAAAACGTGTCATCCAGTTTTATTGATAACATGATTTTGACATATTGATTTTCACCGGTTTTATTTACCTACACCAATGACATTAAACAACATGATGCGCAACTCCGGCATTTTTGGCCGAAGATCGTATTCGATAGCACGCTCCAATGCACATACTTGACGAGACGAAAACGAGCGAATGTGTGTTGCTTTCAAGGCATAGCACGAATGGTGTTCGAGCCTGCTTCGACAATTGTTGTGGTTTTTAATGATATGTAGAAAATTGAAGGTAAAAAGAAATCGGAAAAAAGTAAGGTAAATACTATTGTTGTATATCACACCCGGGCATCGCACTGTTAAGTACATGCGGGAAAGCCAGCTTTTGTCAAATACTACGAAGTTTATAATTCAGTACGGTACGTAGTTGGCCATCTGCCGAACTTGCATATTTACTTACCCCTTATGGTTTCAAATAGTTCATGCACCTCCATTTAGATTTTTTTAATCAGTGAGGATATATACTTATTGCTGTAACAAACTATTGCTCATTCACTTTTATTTGCGTATTGAATCAACGGGTTAACAAGTTCACCTAAAATTTCACTCATACCGGTCTATATTGTATAGTCTGATCTCTCAAGTATTTGGAGCCACGAATGCTTATAATTTTCTGACTAAACCCCTTTATTAGTTGGTTTATATACCAAATTCAGTAAAACATTTTTTACAAAAAACATAAGATATTGGGTTTATTAGCTTTTCCATTCTGAATCATATAGACTGCTTTATTTATTCTTAACGAAAATTAATACATCTCCTCTCCTACAGATGTGAAAGTTGTGGACAGACCTGTCTAAGCATTGTGAGACTCCTGCAGCACAAGAGGCAATAGCAATAATAGTGAGTATATCAATCAAGAAATTAGGCCGACATAAAACAAAACTTTCAACTATTCGTCTGACCTCAATTTCCCATTATTTATTCACAGGACAACTGTAGCTGAAGGGGAGATATCAGAAGTCTGGCGACATATCAGTGACAGTTTGATTCCAAGAAATATGATTAGAATACTCCATAAATGTTTGCAATAGAAGAACAACCTATGGAGGAATGCAAAGACATTTGACCCTCCGGTAAAGTTGTGTATGGCCCCTACATCCTGCAGGGCTTGAGGGAAATAACTAAAAATTCCAAAGCGTAAGATTGCATAAGCGGTCTTCTTTGTAAAAAGGCACAAAACATGCCAGACATACTCAAAACAGCTTTGAAAAATGAGGATTACGGTTCACTGACTACACCTGTGTTATATTTGGTTCATCAAATTTTGGTAGTACTATAAAAGAAATTCAGGAAAGGGTATAATCATGATTCATGATAAAATAATGTTATATATTTTAGACAACTTCAATCTAGACCAGGGATGTCAAACTCGCGGCCCCAAAGAACTTCCAGTGCGGCCCTCGAACGCTTAACAATAATTGTAATAGTATTTTGGAATTTTTTTTTATTTAAATTTTTCAAACCTTTTAAAGTGAAATTGAATATTCACACAGAAAACAATTTACTGAAAGTAGTTTTAGAAAGTTAATTTTTTTTTGTTCACATTTTGACTCAATTAAGAATACACATCAAGCTAGCAAAAGAATACTGAATAAAACACTTGAGTGATTAAATTAAAGTACACGAAGAAGGTGGCATTTTCGAAGAAAATGGGAGTTGCAATATTTCTGCATTTCACAAAATTCTGAAGCACATTGTTAAATTTGTCATATTTCCATCAGTACAATGAAAAAACACAATAAGCTCAGCAGTCAATATGACAAATTCGAAGACCAACTCCGGACAGAAAATTTCCATGTGTTTGTATATTAATATAAATATACAACGACTTAGTTACTAAAAATCAATATCAATAATAATTCAAGCAATCCTATGCCATGCAATGTAGCGTGAAATGTCTTGTCGAAAAAATCTGTCATTTTTATTTTTACTGATCTATAAATGAAATGATAAGCATTTTTGCATTACTGGAATTAATTAAACTTTTGCAAAGATACAGATTAACCCATGATCATGTGACCTCGTTAGTTAGAGTTGGTACTATAAAATCATTTCAGCCTGGCCTTAGTATGCTGGTGACACAAAGAAGATGCCAAACGTCAGGACAAATGTAATTAAAAAAACATTGAGTTTATACTGTAGTATTTTTGTTAATTTTAGGTTCATATATTTAGATTAAGTCATTTTTAGTGTATATTTTATTCTTTCCTTAACCAAGGCTTGTTCAAAAATGATTTTGATGGTTGTACATGGAATTTTATGATTTTTTGTAATAAATACAGTAACTTGCAATAATAGTGGAATGCAAATATTAATATGTAATTGCATTTGAAATTAAAGAAAATAATAAAACTTAATCCAACTGATTAGTTGCATCACAATATATGTCACAAACTAAAACTATCTAAAAAATATCTCTCGAGTATACATTATCAAAAACTGTTTGCGGCCCTTTTTACAATTTCCAACATGCAATGCGGCTCTCGAAACCCATGAGTTTGACACCACTGATCTATTCTAGACCAGTGATTCCCAAAGTGGGCGATATCGCCCCCCGGTGGGCGAAAACGATACAGAGGGGGGCGAAAAAGTCGAAGGGGGCGATAGGGGGGCGATTTCGCGAAACCTGTTTTTGTTCGGCGCATCGTGCACTTAATTCTGTACTCTGTGTGAATTCGCAGGCTTGAATCACGTGGGACGCAAAAAGATTGCTTGACTCGTCTTCGCAGTAAGGTACGGTAGTTTGCGTATCCCAGTGATCGGCAAAATACGGCTGGAGTAAAATAATCTGGCCAGGAACGATTCACTGAATGGACCTTTCCCCGACCTTTGACTGAGGAAACTGACCTTTGACTGCCGGGGGGGGGGGGGGGGGGGGGGGGCGATGAAGTTGTATGAGCTAATGTAGGGGGGCGATGGTCAAAAAAGTTTGGGAACCACTGTTCTAGACGATTCAAGCATTCCTTTGGGAAATAATATCACTTCAATTAAATTGAAAAAAAATCTCGCTATATTAAATACAAAACCGTTGCTATCATAAAGGTAAACCAATTCAGTCACTCGGAATATATTGGCCTTCACAAAGCAATGGAGGCAGAATTGAGAGTTCATGAGCTATGAACTTTTGTTCTTTTCTTTGTCTTGAACTTTTCATACTCCACAGCCTCTATTAATTTTTTTTTTTAATTTTAATTACCATGTGATGGTCATACATACTGTATCTTTGTATTTTCTGTCAGGATGTATTATCTCAATGTGTCAAACTTTTAATTAGTGTGTATATTTTGCTTTCAGATGACATGAATGTATTGTCTTGCTTATTACCTCAGCTTGGAGTATTGACAAGAAAAAAGTGCCCGTAAATTACGTAAAAAATGTTTAACTCTTTGATATAATCAGAATTCACATTTAATAGGAATTATAAACAGCCAACAATCAATGAGAATTATATGCAAAATTCCTCAGATTGAATTTGTTTTCTAAAATCGGAGGAAGGCAAAACATATAGGTAGTCTCCATTCACACAAGTCTTTCAAGAAGACTTGCTCGAGACAAACTAAATGAGCATCGTCAGGTGATTGGTAGGGCTGCAAGTTGAATCAGCCCTGCAATCTCCTGCATAGAAGATAATATTAATTAGCGGGCTATGAGCTAAATTCCTAAATTTAGACACAAACCTATCTACGAGGCATTATGTACCAGTAATGTTACCTACGATTAACTGAATATGTAATATGTCTAATAAATTCACCTACTAAAACAAGTTCGATAGGTGCAAACTTTGTGTTATGGAATTGTATCACAGCACCTTTAAGAGAAGTAAAAACAGTTTTGCTGTTTTGTATGACACCCTCTTTAAATGAAATTTCAATGTTTAAGCGCAAACATTAAAATTACTAACTTTGAACTTTGTCATTATCTGCAAAATGTTTCACACAAATCTTTACGCTATCGCGTTTGTAATATTCTCTGATAAAAAAAACGTCTATGATGTTCAGAATTACTCTTTACAGCTTGTCTGCCATTCCAGCTTTCCAAATGAGCAAAACTTCTCAGATATAGAGATTATTTTCTTTCGTTACAGGCGCAAAAAGGCAGGTACTACACGTAAAGAAGACGCCGAGTAGCAAAAGCAAGCGGAAAACCGTCGGGAAAGGCGACGAGAAATATGTGCATGGAGCGTATCATGAAATACAATCTTTCGCATGTAGTCTTATGGAGTGACGTCAGAGTTGCCTATCATGTTGTTTAATGTCATTGCCTACACCAATTATCCCCACTTAGCACCATACACCATACTTTAAGATCACATGATTCAACAAGTCACAAGATATTCTACAGTAGCAACGACTAACATTTACGGTCACAGTACTGTACGTGTTCAAAAACACGAGAAGGATTGTATAAATAACTTTTTATTTATTTTCGCCGTAATTGTGTGAATCAGATATAGAATTATCAAAATATTTTGTTTTATTAAATCTTTCATTAAGTTGAGGCTCTTATTCCTTTACTTTTTTTACGGCCAAAATCATTTCATCGCGTAAATAATTTGTTCTTGGGTGCTAAATTTGCATCCGCTAGGTAGCGAAACATAGAAGTGTTATTTTCAAGTGTAGTTTTAAGTGTTCTGTGGCGTCTGCAGCTGCCGCAAAACCATGGCGGTATTTCCATACCATGGCCTCCACGCCAAACCTATGGCGTCTGACTTTTTAGCTGCCACAAACCAATGACAAGCTGCCGTTCCGAGGCAGCAAATTGAAAACCAATGGCAGGTAAAATTTTGCTGCCGTAACCACGGCAGGTGGACTGTAAAGACAGAGCTTTCTCTTATGGTGACAAATATTGAGTAAGTTGGAACGTTTTTCTTATAGATACAGTTATAAAATCTGGAACATTAATTTGTGAATATACCGTTAATACTGATTACTGAATAGCGCTATAAAACCATAGCAAGAGCTGCACGGTTCGTTCGTGACAGGAGCTGTGGTAAGTGGTAAGAACGGCTGCCACCCTACAGAAAGACCTAAGCGTTCAGCTTTTTGTCTGAATGTCTGAATGTACGGTACTGTTTCATCACCTTTTTGTTTGGCCTTATTTAAGCAGTTTCAACGTTTACTTCCTGATTTCGCTAGACCCACTTTTGTGTTCCGGTACCGTATACCGGTAGCCTATGCTTACAGGCTTATTAAGTTATTTGAAGACTAGAAAAAGTTGGCTAGCCCACTTCTTTTTCATTATCAGTTATTCGTAATTTTTCTGTCTGTTCATCTTTGGTGTTCAATTTGAATACAGATGACAGTAATTTATATGAGCGATACTGGAGGCCGATTTCTGTTATTAAATATTATTCAGCTTCCTTTTATTTTATGATTTTATGTTAGACTTCTTCAAAGGTGACGCTGTTCGATAACCATGACTGGTTTATCGCGTCACCCTTCACGGTAAAATACATTATTTTATGTTTTACCTTACTGTTTGTATACTTTTATATTTTCGGTGTGTGCAAAAATGAGTTACTGATTTAATGAGTTAATTCATATTCTCTCTAGCCTTTCATAGAGTTTAATATAGAAGTTATAGTCTATATATCTACAGATATTTGATGGCTGGATGATAAAATTATAAGAAGAATAAAACTAAATAGGCTATATAGTAACGTTCCTGGATCATGGATGATAAAGGTATAAAACAATAAATTTTGTTATCAGATCATAGAATATTAATAAACTCACTGACTCACGTCGTTATAAATTCAATAAGCTTTGATAACACACCCAGACACCAGTAATTTATAACGCGGAACTAGCATCATCCTAACCAAGTCTGCCAGTACACCAGTGAACCCTCTTTCATTATTCTTGATGTTGGAATTACTCATGACTTTGTGAAGTCATTCAATAAAGTTGTTAGATTATTATTATGCTGCAGAATGTTTGGTATTGAATTTGGATTTTAGAATATCGTAATGCGTGATTGATAATGAATACTGGAATACAAAAAAGTTGAATTTCACACATTGTGGAACAAAACAGAAAACTCATTTTGAGAATACTCTGTTACTTATCTGATATTTCTGTTCAGCATTTAAACTTTGTATTCAGGTTCCAAAGAAGACGATAACGTTAAAGATGACAAAATCATTGATGATCATGAGAAGTTTGATCATGTAATCGAAGATCTCTATCAAGAACCTATAAAATTGAGAAGTATGTAACTTTCTTATGGCATAATATAAATTTAAAATCCCAGAAAACAAATTTTATAAATCACTCCAAAATTTTCAGGACCAAGTAAAACTGGAGATAAAGTTGATGCTAAAAATGAAGCTGCTCCATCTTTACCTCCAAAAATAAGAAATGGTAAATATACAAATATTTGCTTTAAAATATGTATATCTACAGATGTTATGATTGACACTCTTAATTACTATGACTGTGTCAATTTTAAGCTGTTATTTGCAATATGACTCAGCATAGTGTGAAGGTTGATCATACCCAAATTGAAGCCTTTAGCATTCAAAAACAGGTGTGTAAAATATTTTGTATCATGTTGCACAATATGCCTTGGTGAGATCGGTATGTATGTGTCTTTGTTCGAATCATTTAATATCTTCAAATGTCATCTTTAAATTGTTGTGATTACTAATCTTTTTGAATTGTTATCGAATGGTAAAAATGGAAAATAATATGTCATATTATGTTTTCATTTTTAAAATAGGCTATTCATAAAACTTGTGTTTATTCTCATCACAGGGAAATTGTTGCAACAGTATTAATAAAACATTTGAATTCTATCTTATGTCAGTTTTGTTCTTTTTTGTAGTTGATGTGGTTCCAGCATTCAGAGAAGCTTCCTCATCTGCCTTTGACAATAGTGAAACTATGAATGCTGGCAATATTCTTACAATGGACAATCAGAAAAAGTGAGCATAAAAGTTTGGATCTGTGGAACATGGTGGTCTAGTTGAACTTATAGATATTTTTCTTAAATTATGTAAGCCATGCACAGCCAATTGGCCACCACAATGACTGGGATAAGGTCAGCCATGAGTTTGGCCTTAAGTGTTGCCTTCTTTTATAAATTGTATAAAAATATTTTACCTCACTGACCACCATGTTGTCCATTCTTTGCACAAGATATTTATTCGGTTTAGAATAGTTATTGGTTTTTCTTGTCATGAAATTTCAGAGTGTTCACTTTTTTAGACAAAAAGAAGTTAGAGAAGATAAGGATGTTTCTGTCCATGATCTGTTGGGCAAAAATGAAGTCGAAGTCCACCAAAGTGCAACATCTGAAAGCATTAAAGCTTTTTTCGGGTATTGTATTTGTTATCATAAAGATCGGAAATACTTATTCAAACAATATCTAAGACAATTTCAAATATTTGTTCAACCATTGCCAGTCAATCAATATAATGAGTAGCAATAGATTGCAAAGGGACTTTTACATGCTCATAGATATAGCAAGCTCATGATATTCGGTTATCATTTTCCATCATGTGTCATATTGAATTACGAAACATTTCAATCAACCAATCACTGTCAATTATTTGACGAATATTAATGTGAATATTCATTTAATAATATCTATTAATGAATCCTGATAAAATTTCAAAATTATAACTACCAAAACCATATTACTATGGAATAGTAGGCTATGTATATGATTCATGTCTATATGTAAATTTTTAAACAACAATGGCAATTGTTTTACCAATGTAATGTTTCTGGTTCACGATGACAACTTGGAAATACAAAGTAACAACCTTTTAGATTTTTTTTATTTTCTACTTTGATTAAGAAATTGACTAAGAAATTTCAACATGCTTTAGTACCCATTGCATATTAAACAATATCTTATCACTCATCTAAAGGTGTCGATTATTCACACTGAGTTTATTTTAATTTTAGAAGTGATAAAGACACAGTGGATGCAGGACGCGAAGCAGGACCAAGTTATGAATACAATATGAAACATAAAGCTCGCGGTTGTTTCCTCATATTCAATCATATGGTGAATCATCGTTTGATTATATATTATCAGAGTTTAAGTGTTTGCTAATGTCGGTTAGATTTTTTAAAAATGTTTTGGGAAATTGTCTTAAATCTTTCAAGAGATATATAGATATTGCACTGCATATAGAATATGGTATTGTTCACCCCTTTTGTAACTGACCAAACAATGTTTTCATATGTGGTGGCACAGACTTGGCTGCTAAGTCTTGAGACACTTTAATCATGTCACATAGCCATGTCCACTGTATATCAAACAATACTCAAACATTGTCATAAATGTAAATTAACAATCCTGTACACTGGCGAGAATCTTGCATCGAAAGTTGCAACAACCTATTCAATTCACAAGTTACTAATCAGTACGTACCAATCAGCATGTACCAATTGAATGTATTTATTACACTGTTGTAGGACATACAGTTATGCTTAGGCCTATTGGTATTTTTCTAGGAGAATAACAATTTATATGACAAAATTTATTCAATTGTGGTGTAGCAATTTTCAATCATAACTATAAAAAGGTTAAGACATATATTTTGTGCACATTATAATATATTTAACTACAAAGTTGCAGTACCTCCTCAGTACCTACTTGAATTCTTGCTCACAGATTTATCTTTATGCTGAATACTTGTGGATATGAAGTTGCTTTCCACAACGAGTATTCTTGTGTCATGTCTATATGTTGCCTTTAGTATCAGAGATTTTTTCAATTCAACTGTTAATATGAATATAACAAGTTTTGTCTCCATTCTCTTTGTTTAGTATTTTCTTCCACACTTGGGAGTCAATTCACGGAAAGGAACTCATGAAGATGCCAAAAATCTTGAAAAAACTGCAAAAAAACTTGGATTTGAGTATGTTCGTATCTTTGATGACTTGAACGTCAAGGACATCAGGAGTTGGGTTGCAAGAGGTCCTTATAACAACCTTTATCATATATAGGCTACCTGTATCTCAACGATCTAACAACAAGAACAAAAATATTTATGAAAAATAAATAACGCTCGTGTTGTTTAAACAAGTCTGAGCTTCATTCAACTGAATGAATATGTGTTTAGACTTTATTATTATAACGCTAGTATTGTTATGATTTACCCTTTCACCAAAGATGTTCCAATTCCAGATACTCTTTTATCTACCAGTAAGTATTCCGAATGCCTAATTTCTAGTCAATTATTTTCAGGTTGTTTAGTTCTATGGGTTACTTACAATATACCAAATAAAAGTAATCAGAAGCCACTATGACCTTACAAAAGTTGTTAGCAATGAATTAGTATCAGATAATGTACTGAGTTATTTTACTTTTGATTTGCTTATATAAAAAAAAGGAAAAATTCACCATAAACTTCAATAACAGCCTATCACAGAGTTACTCATGAACTGTGAACTTACCAAGTGATTGCACCTCTTCGACCAATAAATACTCTGGACCCAAAATACCCTTGGGTGCAGGATTACCGGTCATTATAATTTTTTAAGATTGTTTAATTTCTATTAATGTATCGTCTTATTTCTAGTGTCCAAAGCAGATCATAGCAATTATGATTGCTTTGCAATGGCAATATTGACACATGGTGATGAAGGTGATATTTTATATGCTCATGATGAAAAATATCATTTGGATGACATTACTGAACCATTCATGGCTTCTAATTGTCCGACACTTGCCAGAAAACCAAAGATGTTTTTCATCCAGGTTTGTCCAATATGTGAATCATTCTATTATATGTAGGTCCTAGCGCAGTGATGTCCGACCTGTGGCCCGCTAATTCATGCGGTCTGCGGGAAGATTTGTCATCGAACCTCAACCTGCCGTTTACTATAAAATTCAAGAATCAACCTGAGTGTATCTCGGATAAAATCCATTCTTGTGTATTGTAGGGTTTGTAGCCTACTATCCTGACGGAATATAACACTAAAATCAAATTATAAGCCTGATGCTACTGAAACACATGTTCTGGTATATACAGAACAACAAGAGAGGGCGCTTGCGGACAAATATCGGTAGTTACCAAAATTTGGGGAAAATCGTATTTTATTGTTCAAGTAAACGACAGACTGTCCTAGTTCCTCTGATAGGAAATATTCATTTTGTAATTCAGTTTTATCACCATTTTCTTGGTATTTAGAAATAAAATGTTACCTATATATTACGAGTATGATATATATTATATACTAATTTTAGAATGAGTTTTCCTGTGATTATTCCTATAAAATGCCATGTAAGAAATTTACTCAACAAATACAACTTAGTAATGCAGATTTTCTTCTTTTTAATTCGGCTCTACTTGCTGAGGTAGGAAAGGCATGATGAATATATTTGGCTTGTTGTTGGTTTCGACATAGTGCTCCTTGAAAATGATTGCCTGAGTGTGTGTGTTTTGTCATGTGTATTACTTGTATTACATTTTTGTCTGTGCAATGTGCACACATATTAAATTTAGTTAATTTGTTTGCTTAAAGTTAACGATGAAAAATTTAAAAACTGATTACCATTCTATGTCTGAAAATAATATTACTATATTTATGCCGAACAATAATATCCATTCAGATATTAGGCCCTTCAACTTGCCTATTTTCAATTGCTGAGTAGTTTGCAACATTACGAATTAGTGCAATGGGATTATAACCAGATGACTTAATATTTTGTAGATCAAAACTCTTCGAAGTTTTTTCAAATTTGATTTAGTGTAATCTTACCTTTTTTGAACTGAGGTTTCGGGAAAGTAAATTTACTGTTTTGTTTATTTTTTTATTCAAGGCTTGTAGAGGAGTGATGTTAGATGATGGTGCACATACTACGGGAGACACTGTTGATGCTGTAATCAATAAAGTATCAAACCAAGCCCAACAAGAAGCAATGATTATTCCAAATGCTGCCGATTTTCTTTTAGCATTTTCAACTGTTCCAGGTGAGTATATTTTGTTCAGTTTGATTTTATTGAAGATGGTTTGTAGTTAATGTGAGCAAAATTCATTTCATTTTCAGGATATTACGCATGGAGAAATCAAGCATGTGGCTCTTGGTTTATCCAAGCATTGTGCAAATGTCTTTTAGAATTTGGAGATAGACTTGAATTAATGCAGGTTTGTGATTTCATGTATGTACAGATACATTTATTCACTTTCTAACCAATAGTGGACTGTTGTTAACATTTAACAGCCGTTGTCAATTTTTTGCTTATTACGGTATATAAATAATAAATACTACAGAATATAGCAGGAAGTTTCAAGGGACGTATATATATATATCATTGAATCATCAACAAAATGTGATAGTTATGTTGCAATTTTCATTGGCTTTTTTTGGCTGCATTCAATTCTAATCTTATTATTTGCAATGCGTTATCTCATTTGTACGTGAATTATTATGTTATCGTTAGTTGCATTCTATATTTCAGATTATGACCAGAGTCAACAGGATGGTTGCCTATGATTTCACATCTTATTCAAAAGGAAATCCAGATTTTCATGGAAAGAAACAAATCCCTTCAATTGTAACAAGGTTGACACATGAAGTATTTTTCAGGAAAAAGGGGAAGCGGTCTCCATCACCTTTACGTCAGGTATAATTACGAATGAATAAGTATGTGTAAGTCGCTTCACTTCCTTGTTCTGTTTATTAAATTTAGCATGTGTGATTATTGATTATTCTAGTTTTCTTTTTATCTGGCTACAATAGTAAGTTATGTAAGGCTATACAATTCTAAAACATATCCGCATTTGCGTTTGCATCTTTGATTAGAAAATCATCATCTCGAAAATACCCTATTTTAATTTTACAAAAATACTATATCCTTATGTCACAGTAGTCATGTCTCTCAATGTTCTTATTAGATTATGTATTTAAAAATGTTTTGAAAATTTGAATTTAACCACAAATTCAATGGCATTTTCAAATTGTTATATGTAGTCCTTTCCGGCATAGATAACTTTGTTACAGACGGAGGTCAAAACTGAATATTTCACTATTTCGAATACCTTCTAAATTGGGAGCAAGTTCATGTTGAAAATTACATAAATCACCATATCTTCATATTGATCAAATTTTAAGAGTTACGACACGAACATAATGACGACACCAGTCAAGAAATTTTATGTTTTGATCTGCTTGTCTGAGGGCCTAAAATTCTTAATTTTTGATCAAAAATATCCTAAATTGTTTAAAAATTTACTATACTGTACTAAATATATTGAATTTTGAATGTATTCGAATAATCTATCTCTGGTTACGGAATTAAAAAATATTTTGATTTGCTTACAGAAACATAGTTTAATGATTGTAATTGGCCGTTTTTCAACAGAAACATAAGGAGCCTGCGATTGAAGCTAAGCAATTAACTTTGGATGGTAAAATGTTGTCATCTGAAGACAAACAAAATAAAGTTCCACATTTAAAAGGACTCAAAGAAACTGATTTATAAGTTTTCCATTCCTTCCATTCCTGTAAAATATACAATCAACTGAACAATGTTATTGTTATCATTTTCTGGAATGTCAATTATGGATTCAATTTTTGTGTTGAAAAGCTGAACAAAAGAGGTGAATGATTATTGTCAATGGTTTCTATATCTCTATAAATCATAATAATATTGCATTGGATAGTCAGGGATTTTGTTTAATATTTTTTCATACTTTTTATTAATCTCTGTTTTAAAATATATGATTTGATAACCTGATATGATAATACAAGTTATAGATAGGAAAGCCACATTCAAATCCAACCTGCTCTGGTTATAAGCTGTCTGTTTATATCGCATCAGCCATGGTGCGCGATGTTCACTTTTTCATACATTCTATCAAATTCTTTTCACTTCAGTCAGGTTGATTATTCGATTATGCAATATTTATTTGATAAATATTCAATGGTTCAATAATTTGTTTTCGTTTATTCCTAAGTTTAGGTGTGAAACAGCATGCAATTACAAAAGGTTTGGTTAGGAAATATCTATATTTCTCTGTTTTAATCAGCATCTTGTAAAGTGACCATATTTACCACTGTATAGATTTATTAACATTACTCAACTTAGCCATTATTTCTACATCATCTCGTTTATATTGATTGTATAAATTTGTTTATTCTTACATCATTATATGTTTTTTTATTTCCATATTCACCCCATCACTAATTTGATATTAAATGACTCATAAATAATTCTCACTCTTACTTAAATCACTCATTATGAAAATTGAGTCTGCCTTCATTCAAATTACTTCTATTATGTGGTTACGAAAATCAATTAGACTGCATAAGGACTATTCTAATCGCACCCGATTGTCTATGACTATTTACTCATTTTACTGTAATGTTATTCCAATCTGGTTGAACATCGATAGAAAATATTTCACCATAAGTTGATTTTAAGATATGTAATGTTATTGTTCATTTCTGTGTTTATACTTTGAGTTATGCATTGTGTAACTGACTCATGAATAGGGATGTAAGTTTCAAATATTTTATGTTTGAATCGAATTTTGAATCAGAATGTTTTTATTCGACTATTACCGAATCTGATTCTATTTAGCATAACATCGTGTTATCGTTAACTTTTTTTTAAATTTGGAAGAATTATAAATGCTTCAACTACCTGATATAGCCTGTCAGCGCCGAGATTTTTTTAAAGAGGTAACACTCTGTTACATATTTACTTATTACATAAATTTACGTTTGCAAACAATACGGGATGTGCTAAAATTGCCCTGTGGAATTCAGCCAAATGAAAAACGCCAGTGAAATGTACGTTAGTACCATTTGCGCCATGATGTAATAGAAAGCAAATGATAACGAGGGAAGCATCGCAGAACTATGTTTTTAAAAGCAATTATGTTGTTATCATTATAATGATATTATATAGGTAATTTGGAAAAACGTTTATATAACGACATGTTTATTAAACTTATTTACATTTTTGAGTAAGGAAAGCCTTGTGAACGCAACGAAAATAAACGCTTTTGGTCGATGTCGAGACATACAATCGCCGAATCGTGTTATTTAAATTTTTACTTTTTTTTTTTGAATAGAATCAAGCTGTTTCTTTTTCTGAAATTGCTTCGAAACGATTTAAATTGATGTTTATTCGAAATTCTGAAACTTACATCCCTACAGTCATGAATCAAAATATGGGAAGAATGTACATCCATTCAGAGGTGACATAATATTACCGGAAGTTCATAGTTTTGTTTTCCAATTTTTCTCTCGCATAGTTAGTTTGAATCTCATTCTAGGATCATTAACCAAAGCTTGTAGTATCCTATGCAGTTATGGTACTGTTATTTTTGACTTTTAGTACTGTATACGATACCTGCTGTATTAAAGAGAACTTTTTTGTCATTTGTACATTGTTTATAACGCCGAAGAGGCTTCTATTTGAAGCGGACATGCCTCTTCTGCGTAGCGTTCTTTTTCGTGAGATCCTTATCGAAAACTCCCTGACCGCATATTAGGTTCTTTTGCAGTGAATGCGCACCTTTTATTCAATGGATCAAAAAATATACATTTTGATTGTGGAAAATAAGAAGAATATAACAGACAAACAACCTTTTCACAACTTTAAAGATTTTATTGCTCCGTTTAAATATAAAAGACGGCTGATTCAGCAACGTTAAAATAGAAAGCACGAAATAAATCATAAAGTGTAGAATTTTACCTTGGATAGAATTTTAGGTCATTCTATTGAAAAGGGGTTTGGGATTTTTCCGTTTAATACATAAATCTCTATCTTTATTTCTTGAGTTTTCGTAAAAAAGGTCTTTCTTTGACCAATCGGAGATTGGTTTGCTTCGTTTTTGAGTCTTTCGGGAATGAATTTATATATACCACTGTTGAGTTGAGATCGCAATTCTTACATTGTTACGATATACATCCGTGGGGTGTGCGATATCAGAAGTGTTGCTTTTCTCATGTCGTGTGGCTACTAGCGGTTTGGAAGAGAATTCCAGTCCGAGTGAATTATATTCTTCGATTGGCCTTCTAAGTCGCTACCATCCTGCTCCATTGTTATTTCAGATTTCTGTGGTCGTTAATACAAGTCACAAAAATTTTGTTTTTCATTTGGCACAAATAAAGAAAGTCCCACTTTTTCTATTGGGTAACCAATCATATCATAAAATGACACCATTCTTAATATTTTCGGGAGCCTCGATAAAACTATAATTAAATTTGGTATCGAGGGCCCGGGATAAAAGGTGGTCAGATGTTTTCGGCAGAAAAATCATATGTGGGTACCAAGGTCGGAATTGTCAACCCTGATCTAACGAATTGTGATTTTCGAATTAGCCCTTAATATTCAGAATGTCAAATGACAGAGCAGGTGGGCTAGAACTGTAATCGTTTACATTGGAAATGTCCCAGGCGTAATTTGTTGACCAGTGAGCAATAGAGGCCGAAAATGATGAAGTAGTGACAAACGATATTAGATAATAAACGGGATATAACCTTAGAGAAGAATTCCGTGAGTGATATGTGGTTGAGTGAACCACTCTGCGCCAAAAGATCTTGTCGCTCATTTTTGTTTTTTGTCTGATTTGATCCTGCGATCTTAATATAGAATAAAAGTGAGACTGAAGGCACAGACTGAATGCTCCGCGCTCAATCAGGCATGTCGCCGTTGCGTCCTCTACTACCCTATAGTCATCGTGACATTCCGTGGTGTATTCTCGATTTATTGAGGTTCTTTCTCTGTATTGTGTTTAAATTTAAAGTAATTTTTTCATTCCAACTTCATTGTGGCACCCAGTGGTGTATTTCAAATTTTTTGTTGCTCTTTTATATATATTCAATTTTTTATATGATTGTATTTAATTGAGTAAATGATTGATATTCCACGGTGTCTGTGGCTTCCCGTAGTTACTCGAATTCTTTTGTTTTTCCTTTTTTGAACGATTGTGTATAAGCCAATGTGTATTATTGAGTTTTATTCATTTTTTTGTCCTTCCATTTCTGTATGATCGTTTGTAATTAAGTTAACGTGTAATAGGGAGTGTCCTGTTTGCTATATTTCCTGCTTATTAACTCTTTGAACTCTGAATCCCCAGAACGACGCTACTCTTTCACCCTGACCTCCCAAGGCGTCGCATCGATTACACGCGTTAAAAATTTGTAATATCCCTAATTTCAAATCAAAATAACTTCTAAACCATTAGATATCAGATGGTCTGTAATATGTCATATGAAAGCTTATCTAGTCTTTTATTTTTAACAGGCATTATTTTTCACGAGATGTTTTGATGAGATGTGTAAGCCTATTTTTAGCCCCATCTACTATTTTTTGTATTTTGGTAATATTTAATACATTTTTTGGAAATCAATATAAGTAGAATTTTGAAAAGTATACAAAATTACCTTTCGGAGAATATACGGATGACTTTCTTAACATACCCATAACTTATTTTATTGCAGAGTTTGTACTATCGATTCAAATGGTTTGCGAACAAAATTGATCAACTATTTTGACGCCAAGTTTGCGTAACGACGCAAAGGGCGACGACGACATTGTCGTGATAACGTTCATGCGACGTTTCGTGCGTAACCCTTTGCGTGAGGTATATTGCGCAATTGCACATCTGGTCGTTCACAGCTTGAGTTCAGATTGTGTCATCATTGCATCAGTATTATATCCTCGGCCGCAGATAAAACCCTTTCAGACGAATTTTGATCGAACATAGTAAAATTGCTAGAATATAAAGGCCATTTTATATACGTTTACTATTTGGATATGGGACGAAAATGAATGGCCAAAACGAAATATTTGATCCTCGTGCATTTATGAGGTTCCGCCGGAAACATCAAGGCTAATTATTCACCGTTGGATATCATGAAGATTGAATGAAAAAAAACTGATAACGGGTACACGGAAGACATGGTGGCACCAGTAGCTCACCTGGTCAGTGTTTTACATTTTGCGGTCTCATTAGATTTTTGAAATTACTGCATATACGCTACATTCCTGCTATCGCTATATTTACAATGGATTTTAAACGAAAGCTTTGTCCAGATGAAATATTGGATAGTATTCATCTATCGGAAGAAGAAAATATGGCACAATAAAACTCAGCAATGGCGCTAAACAATGCATCCATCGATATGTTCCATCATTCCGTTTTTAGAAATCCTTATTTTTGCTATGCGTATTTTTCATATCTTTATGCAATTAAAACGGCAATAACACTGCGTATTGTGTGTTTCAGTCGGCAGATTTTGAGGCTGGATGTAATGAGTAAATTTCCCCGTGTATCGTTTACACGTCGTTAGTCGCTTCACGAGTACGAACTTAAGTAAATGACGTTACGAGCATGTGAGGAAAACTGTTTCTCGTATGAAATGTAAACGTGCTACGTGTCAACGTAATTGATTAACGTCGCTGCGTAACGCCGTAAATGTGTTAGGTCGTTATTTACGTCACTTTGACGTCGCCTCGATCTTTCGACAAACAAAATCACGAATAAAAATGCTTCTAAAATTTGAATGGTGCAACATAAGTTCAATCTAATGGTATCACTGGAAAGCTATCTTCAAATTCTACAAATTTTGTCGATAATGTACTAGGTTTAATCAAAAACAAATTGAAGTTTTGTCAATCAGATTTGAGCAATTTTCAGAAGTTTTTTATGCTTTTTAATTTTGCCAATTTTCATAAGATGATCACAATATTTTATCTCAATTTTGAAATTATACCTAGTCCTGTAGATTATCTTTCACACGATGTAAAATTTGTCTAAATATAATAAATGGTTCGCGAGATATGAGGTTTCAAAGTTGCATACCTTTCACGGGATGCGAAAGCCGCTAAAGCGGCTTTCAGCGTCAGAAGACTTTCTCGGGAAAGCCGCTATAGTGGCTTTCAGGGTTCAAAGAGTTAATTCAGCTGCAAGGTCTCGCTGACTAGACCAGTGGTTCCCAAACTTTTTGTACCATCGCCCCCCTATAGTAGTTTAAACAACTTCATCGCCCCCCGGCACTGCAAAAAAAATTGAAAGTCTGAAACGAATATATTACAAACCAAATAAGGAGACAAATCATAGTTTATAGTGTTTTTCAATAAGATGGATGAGCTTGGTGTTCTTCAGCGAGCTTTTCATTATATCTAAAATTACCCCGTTTACTGATGGAAAGGCAATTTAGTTGTTTTGATAGCAATAGTAGCACGGCTGAAAACACCTCTTTCACCATATCAGAGGTCAGAAATGAAAGAATTCAGGGTTCTACCTCCTCAAAAACCGCCGTGTACTCTTGCATTTAATCCCCTAAATTCACCCCATTTTACATCCAAAACTTATAATATTGATTTCCGTACATCTCATTCATCCCTACAACCTGATGACCTTCACCAAAATACATGATATATAACGGTCTCCGGTAAAATTCATCCTCGATTCCTCATCCTACCACGTCCTCCAGTCCATAGATTTAATCAGCCATTTGTTTGGGATTCGTGGACTCGGATGACCCAGGGGTCGGCAAATTTTACGTCGCTCACAGGAGAAAATTTAGGGTTGCTATTCATTTGCGGATCGCATATATTTTTCGAAAGTTAAAAACGAAACATCGTGCGAAAACTGCGACAATTCGTGAACTCAACCCAGTCGTCTTATTAAAAAAATATTACAATGACATTCAATGTGACACTGTCTTGTTGCTGCATCATGCTAGATAGCTTTACGACGCCAAGATTGGAAACTTTTCTAAATGGGCATCACTAATCCTAGTTCTTTGCTGTTCTTTGCAATATTCATTTTCGAAAATAATTGGTTGCACAAATATGTACTTCCAAACATCGAAGTGAATATTTTTGCATGGTTTGTGAAATTTTGATAAAAATTTTCTTTAAGAAGATACATTCTTACAACAATTAAGCAGTGATGAATGCCTCGAATAGATATAAATTTTATTTCCTTATTGCATTGCAATATATTCGAATATTTACTGCGTTATCGAACCCCTGAACTCAGCATCATCTTTTCTGCGTGTTTCCATTTGTCTAATTATAATTAAATTGTAGGCTCGTTAAACGAGTAGCTGTTCAATATAGTTTTTAGGATATAATGAAATTTAGTCTAAACGTGTCTCACGATAAATTCTGTTACGTGAGGAAAATATAGTTTACTCCTCGGGCGTAGATAATAAATAAAATGAATTCATCCTTAAAACCGCCGTTTGAATTTTTTCCTCTGGCATAGACTTCTTTGTTTACTTCGTGACATTGGCCAATCAGCAAGGTGCAAAAATAAACGCATTTGCTCCTTTCCGCATCCACTCAGGCACATTCCTCACTCAGGCAGACTTTCAGGCGTGGTCGTGAACACTGAACATTACCTCATTTTCGCGATTTTGAATGATAATGTTAGTTTTTAGTTGTTTTTTGGAGAATTAAATAAAATATATCAATGATCACCTTGTCCTCCTAGGAGTTTCAGTTTAATTACAGTAATCAAAAATTAGTGTAGAAATAGCTGTGATAGATTGGGCTAAAATTCTTTACCGGTACTTTTAAAAAACAGATTGTTGAATGGTATGAATTAGAATGATAGTTTGAAACAAAAACTGTATTTTATAGCCAACAACTCGCAAAACCACTTCTAAAATAAGCATCGAAAATTTTAGAATGGTAAAGTATGGGGAGAATTTTTCGGGGTCAAAGGTCGGGAAAGGTCCATTCAGTGAAGCGTCCCGGGCCAGATTACTACAGATTTCCCGACCACTGGGATACGCAAACTACCCTTACTGCGAAGACGAGTCCAGCAATCCTTTCGCGTGTGACATCGCCCACGTGATTCAAACCTACGAAAGCACGTAGAGTACAGTAATCAAGTGCACGATGCGCCGAGCAAAAACAGGTTTCGCGAAATCGCCCCCTTTGACTTTTTCGTCCCCCTCTGTATCGTTTTCGCCCACCGGGGGGCGACATCGCCCACTTTGGGAATCACTGGACTAGATCAGGGGTTCTCAAACTTTTGGTGTCGCGGAGCCCTTGAAATTGTTGACTATTATTCACGGAGCCCCAAAATAAATGTTAAAATTGTTACTTTCTGATTAATATTCCTGAGCAAGTTAAAAGTACTTTACTCAATTTAAATGCTGAACCTTTTTTGATAGGGTTAATACGAGTTATAAATAAATCTAAATTTCAAACATAAATTATATATACTAAAGCTGTAAATTTGACACTTGACAAACATACTAATAAATTAGGGGTCGAATCTTCTCCCTTTTGACATTTTTTGAAGACCTAAAATGCCGCTAATAATGTGCGCGATTGCATTTTGTTACAATCGCCGATTTTTTTCCTCAGCATGGCGGCGTGTTTTTGAACCTACATCTTTACGCCGTTGTTTATTCTCCCTAAATCAAAAATTTCCCTCGGCATATACATGTATTGTTACACAATGACGACGTTAATTGCTTTTTTGTTCTCGTGTGGAATTATGAGTTCAATGTGAAAAATAAGTTACCATTTTATAGTCATCGGCGACGAACTGCTAAAAATAATAATTAATGAAGAGGTAGATCCGCAACCATTTTATAGTCATCGGCGACGAACTGCTAAAAATAATAATTAATGAAGAGGTAGATCCGCAACTCAAATTTCTTGATTGAAAAGCGGCATTCTAAAATATTAAAACTAAAACTTAAAATGGAAGATCACACGTTTGGTTTCAGCAGACTCACCGTAGATTGAAAACGCTTTTATGGACATTGTAAATCACAAAATTTGCTGTTATGTTAGATTTTCATCGTAGTAACTGCAAAATCGAAACACAGTCAATTGTGCGTGCGACGTGCGATGTATTTTTTTTCCCCATTTTGAAACTGCCGATGGAACCGCACGCTATCAATTGTGCGCGCGATCCGCGATGTACGATTTTCATTCTAAAACTACCGATGGAGCCGAATGCAATAAAAAAGATTTCAATTGTTCGTATTTTGCCCAGACATTGTGATTTTTTAAACGGCGATATCTTGCTTAAATATAATCTCAAGTGCGAAAGAACAAATCAAGTTTGACAAACCCCAAGATCGCAAAAATACGACTCCAATTTATTTATAGTTGTCAGTTTATCACATATTTTATGTTATTTTAGAATAGTATTCTTTCATTTTAGTAATCCTAATAGTAATTTCGAATCAAAGGTGAGTAAAGATGAACACAATTACATTATAACGACGAGACACTTTAAATGCTGGCATCGGTCATGGATTGAATATTTTACGCAACAGAAATCCCGTTATCCGTTTTTTAATCGCGAATGTTGCGCGGAAATTTTCGATTCTAATTTTGAACCACCTCCCTCTTAAGAATCCTGGCTGCGCTCCTGCTTATAAATAATGTCATTTTAAATTCCGCCTCTGTGCCATATTTCGAGGCTATATTGTTGTCAGATTTTATCAAAGCTGTTATTGCTTCTTTGAACAGTTACAAAATTAGTCAGTATTTTGAAAAGTAATCGAATAGCTCGCGGAGCCCCTAGGTTTCTCTCGCGGAGCCCTGGGGCTCCGTACGGAGCACTTTGAGAACCTATGGACTAGATCAGTGATTCCCAAAGTGGGCGATATCGCCCCCCAGTGGGCGAAAACGATACAGAGGGGGGCGAAAAAGTCTAAGGGGGCGATAGGGGGGCGATTTCGCAAAACCTGTTTTATGTTCGGCGCACTTAATTCTGTACTCTGTGTGCATTGGCAGGCTTGAATCATGTGGGCGATATTCACACGCGAAAGAATTTCTGGTCTCGTCTTCGCAGTAAGGTAAGGTAGTTATCCCAGTGCGTATCCCAGTGGTCGGCAAAATACGGCCGGAGTAAAATAATCTGGCCCGGGACGATTCACTGAATGGACCTTTCCCCGACTTTTGACTGCGGTAAATTTTTCACCATTTTAAAATTTTCGGTGCTTATTTTAAGAGTGGTTTCGCGAGTTGTTGCCTGTAAAATGGGGTATTTGTTTCAAACTATCATTCTAATACACACCATTTAACAATCTGTTTTATTAAAAGTACCGATAAAGAGTTTTAGCCTAGTCTATCACCGCTATTTCTACACTAATTTTTGATTGCTGTATTTAAACTGAAACTCATAGAAAGACAAAGTAATCATTGACTTATTTGATTTATATTTGAATTTCCGGAAAACAACTAAAAACTAACGAATATAATTCAAAAACGCGAAAATGAGGTAGTGTTTACGACCACGCCTGAAAATCTGTCTGAGTGAGAGTGTCTGAGCGCCTGAGCGGATGCGAAAGGGGGCATTGTTACGTTTTTTGCATCTTGCTGATTGGCCAATGTCACGAAGTAAACAAGGAAGTCTATGCCCGGGGAAATATCCAAACGGCGGTTTTGACGATGAAATTTTTTTATTTATAATCTACGCTCGAGGAGTATATTACATTTTTCTAAGTAACAGAATTTATCGTGAGACACGTTTAGACTAAATTATACTATATCCTAACAATTTAGTGAACAGCCATTCGTTTAACGAGCCTACAATTTAATTATAATTAAACAAATGGAAACACGCAGCAAAGTTGATGCTGAGTGCAGGGGTTCAATAGCGCAGTAAATATTTCAATATATTGCAAAGCAATAAGGAAATAAAATTCATAATCTATTCGAGAGATTCATCACTGCTTAATTTTTGTAAGAATGTATCTTCTTAGAAGAAAATATTTATCAAAGTTTCACAAATCATGCAAAAATATTCACTTCGATGTTTGGAAGTACATATTTGTGCAAACCATTATTTTCGAAGATGAACATTACAAAGAACAAGCAAAGAAGTGGGTTTGGTGATGCCCATTTAGAAAATGTTTCAATCTTGGCGTCGTAAAGCTATCCAGCGTGATGCAGCAACGAGACAGTGTCACATTTAATATCATTGTAATATTTTTTTAATAAGACGACTGAGTTGAGTTCACGTATTGTCGCAGTTTTTGCGCGCTATTCCGTTTTTAACTTTCAAAAAATATATGCGACCCGCAAAAGACTAGCAACTCTGAATTTTGTCTTGCAAGCGACATAAAATTTGCCGACCCCTGGGCCGTAGCCGATAGTCAGTCACGGCTTCTTCCACATCCGAGTCAATGAATCCAAAAACAAATGGCTGGTTAATTATGGACTGGTGATCGGACTGGAGGCCGTGATAGGATGAGGAATCGGGGATGAATTTTTCCGAAATATTTTGGTGCAGGTCATCAGGCTGTACGAATGAATGAGATCATTATTATAAGTTTGGGAAAATTGACTTTGTTTTTTTTATTTTAATGTGAAATGGGGTGAATTTAGGAAGTGAAATGCTATGAGGCAAGAGTACACGCCGGTTTTTGAAGAGGTAGAACCCTGGATTCTTTCCTTTCCGACCTATTATATGGTGAAAAAGGGGTTTTCAGCCGTGCTACTATTGCTATTAAAACAACGAAATCACCTTTTCATCAGTAAACGGGGTAATTTTAGATATAATAAAAAACTCGCTGAAGAACACCAAGCTCATCTATCTCATTAAAAAACACTATAAACTATGATTTGTCTTCTTATTTGGTCTGTACTATATTCGTTTCAGACTTTATATTTTTTTGTAGTGCAGGGGGGCGATGAAATTGCATAAACTACTTTAGGGGGGCGATGGTCAAAAAAGTTTGGGAACCACTGGACTAGATGACTCTCCGAGTCTTTTCGCGACCCCGCGTCAACTGCAACAAGCCGATATCTGTTTGTCATTTTGTTACATTATATTATTTATTCATTTTTCATATCGCGCATTGTTTTTTGCATGACGAAAATAAAAATAAATATCTTAATCTGAGTGAAATTTTCAAAACCCTAATACGTAAAACAAAGGTATTTGCATAAATGCGCGGTACGCAAAGCCAATATAAACAAAGCTAATTATTTCACGTTAGTGCAAAATATAAATCATATAATGCAGTGTTTATAGTGAACAAACTAGTCATATTATAAACATTCTGAAGATTATTCATTTTTGAAATTTGTCATTGCATCAAAACGAAATGGATTTTTTTTTAAATTAAAACAATAAAATACTTATTTGTGGCGTAACAATGGTAATAAGTTTCAGATTATTTTTTTTTAAATAAAATTAACCAAGCACTTTCTGAAAATACAAAACTAATGTAAATATTGAGGAAGGTCAGATGTAATATGCTGAAGAAGTCTCGCTCATGTTGTTCTTCACTGGTTTGTCCAAGTCTCACGAAACATTTCAGAAAATCCTTTGACAGGAGACGAAATGAAACGTATGATGTTTTTTAATTAAATGTTTTAGCGATAGATATAGTTGTTCATGGAAACAATGTTGTTTCAAATCGCTAGTTTAGGGCTTCTTCGATAGATTACTGATAGGATAACTGCTTGTCAGTTTAAAAACCTTTAAAATAGATTACTACTAATAAATTTGTAATTTGTTTAGCTTTATTGATGTTTTGTCTTAATTAATTTATTAGTACCAGTATTGTTTAAGTATTATTTTTATTGTTCAACACTTAAACAATGTTTACATATTGGATTCGAATTATTTTAATTGGCAACGTAATCGTGCGAACATACGATTTTCCAATTTCCGAACAGTCTTATATATACGTAAAATATTGTTATATAGTCGGATGCAGTTTTATTAAAACTCAACGGGGCCTTTGAGCATACGTAAAGTTTTGTATACCGCGGTTCTTTCAGTTATTTAATTATTCACTCTATATTGGTATATCAGTTATAAAATCACTGTATGTAAGTGAGGCTAAACTGATCAACATAACTTTGCTTAAAAAAACGTTTGACAAATGAGTCGGATTTTACAACTTGACATTAAAATAAAAGCTCGAGATTTACCCTTTGATAAATTTAAAATCAATTGGTATAAAATAAATATTACAAGTAAACCGCGAGAGTGTTTCTCATTTTTTTTAACAATCATTTGGGTCCTGACTCCAAGAGAGGGTTACGCGGCGGTATATCAAAAAGCGCCAAGCTGGTGTCTTTATTTAAAAGTAAATACTGAATGCCGGAAGCAGCCTCAGGATGACAGTATCGCACAAATCGTTCGCGAGAATTTGACGACTATCGTTTATATCTTAATATGCATTTAGTTAATAGTTTACGCTGCGCAATTTGTGAAAAAATTTAATATGTTCTTGAAAAGATATTCGGATTTTATGCGATATTTGTTTGATAGTTGTTATAAAAGTGTAAAATGAGCGGATAGTAATTTTTTGATTTAAAAATGCAAACTAGAGTACACCGAAGTATAACACAAAAAACTGCAAATAATTTGATTCAATTCAAATCTAATAGAAATATCGATTCTGTTGTCAATCATTATATTTTTATGTGAATGGTATATGCCGGAATACCTATAATAGATTCACTATTGGTTAAAACTGAGTAGAAACAATAACAACACAAAACTACCTCCAACGTAACGAAAAACAACTTTAATATGTCGCATGCTCAGCAATTGGCGCTCCCGTAGTATTCGTACCAAGATGGCGCACAAGCTTCTCACCCTAACTTTGTACACATACTATGTTCAGGTTTTGCGCCATCTTGGTACGAATACTAGGGGCGCACCCAGTAATTTAATTCAAATTCCTTTTCCTAGCTTTCTTTCTGAGTCCGGTGTCAGAAATCAATTGCTCAGGTCAATTCACGTTCAAAATGCACGATTCTAGACAGGTCAATAATTCACTGTTAGTCCAAAAATGCTTGTTGCATCATTCACAGTATACCATACGTAGCATGGATAATGGTAAGACGGATAGCCCGGAGAATAGACCATTCATCCATGTTTATTGTGCGTTAAGAGAATAATGTTAGATTTATAATGGGTAATGAATACATTTTTTAACGTTTCTTCCAAATAATGCATATGTCGAGTCAGCACAACAAAGAAAACTTGAAATTTCTGCGTTTTCTCATTCAGTAAGCTTACACAGTATACCATACGTAGCATGTATAATGGTAAGACGGATAGCCCGGAGAATAGACCATTCATCCATGTTTATTGTGCGTTAAGAGAATAATGTTTGATTTATAATGAGTAATGAATACACTTTTTAACGTTGCTTCCAAATAATGCATATGTCGAGTCAGCACAACAAAGAAAACTTGAAAATTCTGCGTTTTCTCATTCAGTAAGCTGAAGTAGATTTTATTCATTGAAATAGATAATGTGCTTCGACTATGTTTGTGTATAAAATAAATATTTTGGAAATTTTTATTTACCTCCACCATCGTTGATACATGAAACAGCATGAAACAATGAAATTAATTTGTAACTGTAACGATAATGTTACAAATGAATCTTCCGGTTATATCAAGTTTATTGGATTGGAACGAGTTGAAAATATCCAATATTAGCAATCTTTACAAAATAAAATATAATAACATTAATATCACAACATTTTATACCCTAAATGTCGCCTCCTAAAATTGGTTAAATTTACAAGCATTTTCTATGCATTGAGAAATGAATTATAGCGGCCAGCGAATTCACCTATTATGAAATGGTCCCTAAATTACTTTTCGAATATTTCAAATTTTAAGCCGGCGCGTCACAACCTTGTCTCCGACGTACATCCTTTCTGTTACCTTATTATTCGTCATACAAACCCGTCATTTTGTTACAGCGCATACGGAGTAGAGTTCCCATGATTATAGTAGCGTTCGTCACCTTATTGTAATTTGGGCTTCAGGATATTCCGTAAAGGGACTAGAAACTAATAAAAATCGAAATGAGACGTATATCATCTTATTCACAAAGTGCATCTTGATTAGATTTATGTTCGTAACACTTATTACATATATTAATAATATTATTAATAGTATAATATAGTGTTCATTTTGTATCGTACATATTGTGAAAATTATATTACATTTTCTTTTATTTACCTTTCATTATCTTTAGCGTTAAGCTTGTGTTCTTTATATCTAAGTTTGAATACGGAATAGAGTACACAAAGAGCGCAACTCAAGTGAATAATACGTTAATTTGGTTTCGTGATTCCAAAGGTATATTCGAATTAAACGTTCTTTACCGTTCACGCTTATTGTAGCGCTGTATACAAGAGGCGTAAAATTAAAGGAGCGTTGTGAACTATATAACGACAAACAGTGTGTCACGTATTTGAGTGTATAAAGCTGAATTGGAATTGATTTATAGTCTCGGAGTTGTTGTGTTGAGAATCAGGTAACAAGTTCTTCGTCCTTAAGCGCGCTTTTTGAAATGCCATTAAAAATACTTGAGCCCGACGCCAGATGACAATTATTACATCTAAAAGTGATTGCATTCTATTATTGCGATGAGCCTTGGCGCGCATTTTTTTTAACGTTTGTATATTTATGCATTTTTTTTATTTGAAAAACGTGCACGTTTCTGAAAAATTCTGATAAAAAATTGTTTGGTTTGGAGCTCATAAATTGAAAAGTAAGATCATGGTCGAACTATTTCTTGTGTGCATGTTGTTCAGTCTTTAATCTTTATTGCTAATCATATTAAATTTTAATCTGATTTTGTATTTACCTTCCATTATCATTCTGAATTTAGCGCGTGCCCTTCAACAACTAAGTCTGAATACGTATAGAGCAAACAATAGCTCAGCTCAAGCGATGAATACTAAGAAGTCGGTTTAGTGATTCGAAGAGTATATTTAGTCTGAACGTCGTTTCAGTTGTAAGGTAACGTCGATGGCCCATACTCCCTTCCTAAAGATGGATTGTAGCGCATGATTTCGAATTGTATAGTATTAGCTTAAGATAACATTAGGCATTGACATGAGGCAGCAGATTGGAGTTACATTCTACTATTGCGATAGTGGGAATTTTTAGGCGCAGATCTACCCCCCAAGGTGGCTACCGGGTAGTTGACTTTGATTGGACGCGTCCATAGACTAAGCATTGAAGGAAAGCGGTAAAATAGAAAAAAACGAAACTTAGTGTATTACCGCGGGCTTTTACTGTTCATTGCGACGTGGTAGACAATATACACCCTACCGCAAGTGACTGCATTGAGTATATATTGAACTAAATATATATATATTATATATAGTTTGGTTCGATTTTGAATCCTCCTAATATAAGCGCGATTGCCGTTCTCAATGTTCGGATATCTGTTTAATTAGATGGCGTATTACCTGTTTTTAGCCTCCATTTTTGATAATAAATATCGAAACGTTTACTCTGTTTCGAGAAAAATGTGTGAATTTGTATAACGAATTTGCAACAAACTGACGAACCTTCAATATAATGGGAAAATGATACATTTAGAAGTTATTAGACTTCAAGGGAAAAAAGAGGTAAATTCTGTACTGAATTATAGTTACTGAGAAATTATAATGCTGAGACGCTATTTTTCAAACAATGCCATCTATAATGGAAATTATTTTTATGCGTTACTTCGTTGCCGAAGAGTAATCTATACGCGAATGAGACCTGGGATTATAATATAATACATTTGCAATACTGACTGTCGGGTAAATTTATTAAAAGAAAAGTGATGCTGAAAGGTAGACTAAAAGTTTTATTGATTGGTCATTCTATAAAAACCGTGCAAAAACCCAAATAGAAATGAATATATTAAATAATAACAAGTTAACAAGATGATTAATACCTCTTAGTTTGGAGCAAGAATCGGTGGCCGACATATTAGAAGCTAGTGTAATTCATATAAAGGATGTGACAGCTCATTTAAATGTTATTATAAGATGTGTTATGAGGACTTTCGAATATGATGCAATTTAACGAGTGCCGTCGTTATTTTTTCATGCCAAAGCGAGGTTTAGACAGGAAGTCATAATCAATAAGCCCTGTCATGACATATTCTAGTTACAAGCGTGTCTTATTTCTGCTCAGTACTGCTGCGAAATTCTTGTTTGGGAAAGTTTGAAAAAGTATAGTGCCTTTTAGAATATTTTGAAAAAGGGCGCAAACAGATCTAATCACGACTGTAGCAAGTGCATCTTGCGGCGTGCGTTAGCAGCGTAAATTTCGTGAGAATTTCTTATTTTTCTTTGTTCAAAATTATGTCACTCTGCTGCAATTCCCTAACTGTGAGATTTGGTTTGTCAGAAACACAGCACAAATCTTCATTCTAAGAAGGCGTGTTACTAATTCCAGTGACTTATCTCGTGCGTGATATTCGCGTACTATTGAGACTGAAAAGGGGTAAAGTGGGGTAACGCATACATAAGAGAAATACTTTTTTTGTTTGGAGTTCCCTTTGGGCAAACCTTGAGCAAACAGTCACTCAGCAATGTCAGTGTACGGTGCAGTTCATGTGTAAATTATCACGCCATAAGTTAGGTCGCGACTCTATTGAGGGATACTTTTAATCCTAAATGTCTTGTAGAATTAATGGTGATAGCTGAGCCTCCTGCGATTTGCACTATTAATACTACAGTGACGTAACACTAGAAGTTTCGCAGCAATGAGTAAAAAGTTCATTCGTCATTTGACAACGAATTTGGTGTTGTGTGTGGTATGGAGAAGGAAGAGTAAATTATGTCACATGAAGCCCAATATCCTAAATAGGAATGTCGTCACGGGCACTGTAATAGTACCAAGTGACTCACCTAATTCATTCGCACGAAGGCGGAAGTTTTACCGAACGCTTCACTTTGAAAAATTGAAATTAAGAGAGTATTCAACGCAGTAATGGTCCAAAGTAGAAAGTCAAAATACGATCAGAACTAGCTTATTCAAAATATTGTATTTTAGCGAAAGGTATAATGTTGACCGTAAAAGTTTTGTTTTTATTTTAAATTTTAATAAGACATTACTATAAGATATAAATGTGGTGATTCAAACTACATTGATTATTCTCATAGACCGATTTCTGACACTGAAGGTCAGCTGGAATCCTTCTCGCGTCTTTCGATGACAATGTCCGAAACGTCCCCGATGGAGCTTTTTAACCCATTGCAGGAATTCATTCACAAACACAATGTTAAAGTTAACAGCGAGGATCATTTTCGTAACGTGATTTATGACCACGTTATCGACACCATAGATAATCGAATCGAAAGCCAAGCAGGGTCGGTTCCAAATGAACATTTGCACCAATATGCTAGTAATTTGTTCTTGGAGACGGATCTAGGAAGCAATCCGCATCCGAGCGAAGTCATCCAGTCTGAAAAATGTGTGTTAGAAGTCAGAGTCCACAGAGCTCAAAATCTTGCACCAAAAGATGTTTCCGGCACTTCAGATCCTTATTGCGTAATGGGGTTGGAACCCAGTGACCTTTTCGCCAATTTACAATCCAAGAAGCATGTTGCACGGTATGTTACAACAGTACAAATGAAAAACATCAACCCGGAATGGAACGAATGCCTTGAGATTCCAATAAAAAGGGAACAAATTGAAAACACATACTTACACATTCAAGTTTGGGATCACGATGACGAAGAAAGCGTAACTTCTGCCATCGGAGCTTTAAAAGACGTCAAAGGGGTTCGGGGAGTTGGAAGGTCAGTTTGCATCTAACAATATTAGCCTGAATGTTTGAAACGACATTTCTTAATAATTCTGATCTATCACCAACGAGGTCGGATTAAGGCAACCGATGCTAACCAAGGTCGACTATTTCGTAAAATGAAACATATGAATATGAAATATGATAATAAGTTTGTAAACGTGAACATAAAATCGGCTGGCCAATGTTTCTGCTAATTCCACATACACGAACTTATTTTTTGAAGGTATTGCCACTAGAAGAGAATAGTTATAGTTGTTCGAATTAACAGTGCTTTTAAAAGTTTCGATACCATTTATGACTTACTCAAAATTACGTTCAACATTACGTGAGCCCAGCGTAACCACTATCTAAACCTCGCCACACAGTTCGCACTTTTTGTGTAAATTTAAAAAGAGATCGGGTTTATCAGATTTCGGTGTCACTTTGATTTCAAAGATTCGCATTGCACCTGAGGTTCCTGTAAAAACAGTCGTAAATATATAGCCGGAGTAAGTTTATAATGGTGACCGTACATTTGAACCCATGCGTATATCCACGGGTTCAATCTATATTCGGGTGCTAAAACCCATGGGTTAGGGTTAGTATGGGTTCAACTATCCAAAAAACAAAAATCCATTGGTGCAATAGCATACAGGTGCAATTGTCATGGGTTCAACTGTACATGGGTTCAAATGTAATGGAACCGTTTATAATACTGTAACCCAAATTACCAGATACGTGAAAGAAGTCGCACAGACTATGTCGCACAGAAAAGATACCCGCGACGATTTTATGGGTTACAGTTCCATACCCTTGAAGAATATTCCTCTGGAAGGTATTGACAAATGGTATACTTTACGAGCCAATGGACCACTGCAGGTGAGGAACATTTTCACCATCCCGTACATTGAAAGAATGCATCATCAAAAAGTCTGTTATTCTAATTATACCTTGATAGGTTGATATTCACAGAATCAGCACCATTTTCAGTCTTAGAAGGGAATGATTTAGACTGCCGCTCCACTGACTAAAACACTTAAAAATGTGTATTCATTTTCAGTGGATAAGATACTATATCGAAGAAAATTAAAAAACCATCTTGTAAACTGTCATCACCGCTAAAATTTTACTTCAGAGAATTTCTGGCCGACTAAAGATTGGACTGAGGGTAATTTGTCCTCACATGTTAATGGCAGAATCGAGTCATCCGGGAAAATCGAAATCATCCATCCAGATCAATGGACGACGACTAAAAAATGAAATTTCAAACGAGATAATATACGGAGGGATGATGACACTGATAGTCAATGGAAGACACAGTATTTACAAAGATCTTATCAGCGAAGATGAGGTTTGTTCAAATTCAACATGTTTTTTTTTCCAAAGATTCCAAAACTCCAGTGAAAATGGATAAAAAAGAAAATTAGGAATTTGATCTTTACTGCAAGCAGATTTCGGCGGGATATACAGTATATCGATGAACAAAAAGCTCAGAATTGGCAACATGTATTCAGAAACATATCTATTTTTGGTGAAATATTTTGATTCTCGGATGTGTCACGTTGAAGTAAATGTGACATGAACTCGATACACAGTGTGAACAGAGAGGGGGGATTTCGACAATAAGACTTAACATTAAAACGAGATTTTATATGTTAGAAATAGCTTCTTACTCACTATTAGATGGAGAAAACGAATAATAGCTATCGATTGTTGTTTACTTACGTCAATTTCTAGTTTTCAAGTTTTGTTGTCAGAATTCAAAACTTGATGGCTGGGACGGACAATTGCAAAATGTTGATGAAACTTTGCTGAGAGAATTTGAGTTGCAAAGAAAAATGAATCGATTGTCTTGCGCTATCGCAAAATGGGAAATTTACTGCATCGAACACGTTCAGGTGAATCCACCAAAGTATGGCAAATATGTAACATAAAGGCTGGTCGGCTTAGTCGGATCAGGATTTCGATCCTGCAAAACAATTTGAATACTGTCGTTTTAAAATTCTTAAGGCGAAGACAATTGCCCGCCGAATGTTTAACGTCCAAAATTAGAGAACGTCTACAATTCGGGAAAAGACATTATTAAATGTGAATATTGGTTGAGCCTATCACAAGGTGACATCAGTTCCCGAAACACTGGTGGTAACAATCTGTAATTGGACACATTCAACAAGCGCACTTAGTTAATCTAGTTGTATGATACTGATCAATGAAATTTAAAAAACGAAGAATACAACTAACTGTTGATTCTTTTCATAGATGCCAGACGGAATCCAGATGAAATGTATGACATCCATTCTAAAAGAAGTAGAATCTCGATATGAAGGAAAAGGTAATAAACTGGAGAGTAATCATAATCGTAGTGGGCGCATATTGTAACTTATCAACAACCGTTTTGAGTGCGGTTTACATCATGATATTATTGTGGTTTGTATTATTAGAGCTTATTTAATATTTATGCAAATTTTGATAAAATAATGAAATTATGAAAATATGCATCAATGCCTATTATTCTCTGTTTGCTGACAGACAAAGAAATCTTCCGACCTCTTCGTCCATTAGCCGGACCCGGTGAAGATCCGGAAATATTCACGTTTGAAATGCTTCCACGATCATTTGACAACTTTTTACGCCATTGCCACGGAAAAATTGAAAATCATCGTGCTGTGTATCCCATAAAAGAGGTTTGCGAGATTCGAACAAAAAAAAACTGATTCAATTAACCATATATTCAACCAAACAGAAGACTTCATAATGTATGGGTCGTTATGCTATAAATCTCTTTAATATTGATTAGAACACTCATTTATCAAATTATATTATTATAAAGGTAATTAATTATATGAATGAGTGTAGACGCGATCAAGCGTAATATGATTTGGTTTTAATAGTCATTCAGAATTGATTACAATAAAGCTTTCACAGTAAGCTAATATCGCTTCCAAAATAAATTGCCGGAAAAACATTCATAACTATACAGCAAGGGAATGTACAGTAATTCAAAAAGAAATTAAAAACGAAAAATAAAACATAAATATTATTCACTTCAGAACGATACTATAATACGGCTTGGTGATCTTCTCATTTGTTTGAAAACGCTTCGAGAGATGAAAGTATATCTCACAGCAAAGTTGGTTGATACGACAATGTTTGGATCCGGTGATATAAGCAAAGATATATCCATGTCCTTGAGAAGTTCTATGTCAAAAATGTACAAAGATTTATGCTTGGATCATAAAGTTATATCTGCCAATGTAGCCAATTTGGACGAAGGTAAGTAATTTGAATAATACGAAAACTTTACTCGTATATAGTACAGCTACAATACAATGTCGTAAAAAGGTCAATTTATTTCTGCATTATCAGTACAGTATGCTATGCTTCATACCCCGTTTGTCACGGTAATAATAGACTGTAGTACGTGATGTAAAAACTATTTGTAGTGTAATCAGATAAAATTCATGTTTATTTAGGTCATAAATATGGTATTGCTCTATTTTAGACTTTGTCATACTCTTTGGTCTAGTGTGTATTAACTGAAATAATTATCGTCAGATGACCCCATTGTGGAATACAACGTCGCTGGACTTGTGAAACTTGTTGATGATATCCACACCGCTCTGATGAATGGACGACAGTATTATCATCTTGTTTTCAAGAAGGTTCTAAAAATCGACTACATGGCTGTTGTATTGGGAGCAATAGGCACAAAGCTAGCAGAAGATATGAAAGATATTTTATACAAAGTCAACAATGCCATAAATGCAGTAGCGGGTAATTCCACTTCTTGTTGTTTTGAGGCAGTTAACTTGTGAAGGCTTGTATAAATTTTTATTAACTTAATGAATTTTTTGATCAATGAGACAAACAACTGGACTATAAAAATGCATAGATACATAAGATCAAGTCAAAATTACTTATTTAGCAGATGTTTCGGCACTGTTTTGTCTTTGGTGTTCTCCACGTTTCTCAAAATTTTAATATGAATATTTCTCTTATCTTAGATCCCGTCGAAGAAGAATCTTCGGACCAAAGTACTTCAATGTTTCAACTCTATCTGAGTTTAAGAGATTTTTCTGAATTTATGAATCAACTACTTGAAGGAGGAAAAACCAATGGCAAGATTTTAATTTTCCGATAACGAAATCAGGCTTATCATCTAACACAGTGGTTCCCAGCCGCCGGTCCGCGAATCTTTTTTGCTGGTCCGCGTGAAATTTTGTTGTTTTTATGCCGTCTCAATTGCTTTAACAAGGACGAGGTTGCGTTGGTTTATTACGCAATTTCTCTTTCGCCGTCATATTGCGACGTTTTTCGCGACATCTGCGCCGAGTAATCACACTTTTCGCTTTTTTCGGCTCCGATTCATCGCGAATGCGCTCCATCAAATATCGCAAAATTCAGAAACCTAAAAATCGGCATGCGTGCTTTCCCTATTCTGCGTGCTTTTCCTGATTAATATGACATCCATATAAAACGGTATGCATATTTCTTTGTTTAAACCAGAAAACAGTGGAGAACATTATAATATTCCAGTAAGATATGAACTTGTTGCGACCATGTAGGGGTCACGAGTCACTACTCACGAGACGCGCAAAGGAGCATGGGCCACAGAGATCTTTTTCAGTATTTTGAGCAGACACGGTGAGATTTTTAGCCTGGTGCCAGGTTACCGACGACTTTGTCATTGTAATGTAAATTCATTTCGCTTGAGGCGTCGGTCAACTGCAGAAGAAATAGAATAAACCCGACGAAAAAAAAGCTTGATTCAAATTGTGATCCTACTTTACAGTCCAGAATTTAAAAAAATAATCATTGTCACAATTTTGGATAACTTTTGATAACGAATACCCATCGCTAAGTAATCGAGCAATCAAACTGTTCAAACCGTATTTTCAACTAGTTACTTATGCGTTACGCGAAAAAACATTTTCATCACTAGCTTTAATTAAAACGAATCAAAGAAATTGGCTGCACTCCACTGCAGAGAGAGCTACGTCTTGCATAAACTTCTTTGAGGCGTCGTTTGCAATCCTATATTGAAAACGAAACAGCAGCAAAATTCTCACTAGAGTTAATTGTATTGCCACATGACCTGGCACGTGCAGGTTTTTGGACACGTAGTGGACATAACGATCGTTTCAATATTATGTTGTTGTTGTTCTTTGACACGTTTTTAAAAAGTCTCTTTTCTCTTCGAATACTGGACCAATTGCTTTGAAATTTTCAGTGGTTAAAGATAAAAATACTTTTTTTTTCGCTATGACGTCATCAAAATTATGTGACTCTACGTGTCCATATATTTGAGCATAGCTCTCTTGTTTTATATGAAATGTTTTATGTGTTCCTTTCTTACGCGTATTGAGTGCCCAGCACTATATGGCATTATTTTATGTTTCACCCATTCCAATTTTTTGCCGGCACATTATTTGACAGTTTTTCTTCGTGTGAAATATTTTTAAGTGTGCCATTTTCGTTCAGAAGCATACTGACTGCCCGACATTGCATTATATTACGCAAATATATGTTATTTTACTCTGCTCCGGTCATTTCAATTTTTTGCCGGTCCGCGAGGGTAGAAAGGTTGGTAACCACTAAGTCTCTAACACAACTAGGGTATATTATTCCATAGGTAAAAATTTAATTATATTTTACTTCAGATAAATACAGCGAAATGTCGATGAACCAGCTTACTAATGGCGAAGAAAAAGTTATCAATCACATTGATGCCTTGAAAGGTTTGTACTTAAAAACTATTTTCAAACCATTCATATCAGTTGGTCCTTGTTGGCATTAAGTAAGCAATAATTTAAATGCCATAATGGCTGAACGACAAATATTTGTCGAGTCGTTCAAGGATAATGTTTTTCTGACGAAATGACATGCGACATTCATGTAAATACCTGCATCTCTCCACCAGAACAAATCATCCAATTCTCCCTACTCTCGCCAAGTCGTGCACTATTGTTCCTATTATTTCAGGGTTTCACGAATGGTTTCGCCCAACAATTTTACGATGGTTGCAGATGTCCAGAGGAAGAACTGTCCAACGTCTAACCGCAGCTGTTCAACTAGATAAAGTTCAAAGAATGGACGATATTGTTAAACACAGCTCATCTGCAGTCGATGCGATTGCATGTTTAGATTCGATAAGTATTTTTGTACTGTTAAACAAATTTTGTAAAGTCGAGCGTAATTTGAGTAACGTGAATTGCTAGCTCAATGTTAAAATGGCTGTTGATTTGTTGGTGCATTTATAGTTATTGGAGCATCGAAAATGAAAATATTCAGGGGGCTACATCGGAATGTTCGAAATCAGTTAATATAGGTTTTATAACGATTAGTGATGAAAGTGGAAAATGGCTCATAATGAGAGTTTTTATTTCCGCATAATGTGGTTCCATAATTAACTTTGCAATCCATGTTTTCAGCACGTGGTAACTTTCTGGCTGCGAATCAAATGGCCCGACCTAATGGATGGATTTTTAATTGCCACGCGAATCGCTGAAGATATATCAAATGGCGCTGAATTATACGCCGATCTTGTTCATGACAAACTCAAAGCTGTTGGATATTTTGATGACGAAGGTCAATTTGACGTCACTGAAGAGCTTTGTTTTGCTTTAAATAATCTTGAGGTGAAAAAGAAGAAAGACTGTGAATATATAAATAGATAAATCAATTCATATATACAAAGTATTCTATTTATTTCGCAGAAAGTGAACATGTTTTTGGACAGCGTTCTACACAATATGAAAATTGACGATCTAGCAAGGAAAATAAGTATGTTTTACATAATAATGAAGCTATCAGAAGAAAATATCTTAATCATTGTTGATTATAACGTTGTAATTGAATTTTCCCACCGATAAAATGCAAAACTTTAAATTGTAACACGTATTTTTATTTTAGATGAAGTGGATGAAGGGCCTACGGGTGAGAAATTGATGGCTTCCTTCCAATCTTTGGTGCGAAATGCAAATGTTGGAATGCGGAGAAAAATTATGGAAGTGACATCTGTAGTTGGTAAAAAAATGGAAGTAAGTTAAATAAATAGGGAGTTTACTACAAATACCAATATAGATACATACATACTGAGAATTAAAAAAAAATCTATTAACTTTCTAATTAATAACAGCAGAAATTACTGGTTTATTAGCAAAAATTCTGCATGCCTTTTTACTCTCTGGTTTGAATATCATTTGTGATCATTTCCACACGTGAAATCATTACATCAGTCATTTCGCAAATCTATGCTACATCATGTTTTCAGACTGATATAAAGAAATACATACAAGAGTTTACGCAGAGTATTTTGTCCGTCACGCCGAAGCATAAAGATGGTACGACTTTGAATGGGCATGATTCTGACTATGATCTGAATAGAGAAGAATGGCAAAATCTTGCCGAAGATGCTGCAGGACCTCTCATGCAATATTTAACAACGAATATTATAACTTTAAAAGAATGGCTTTGTGACGTAAGCATACTTACTAAAACTTTTCATTGATGAAATAATATCTTTATTTATCTGACCCACAATATATATGAAATCATTCTTCCGGTTGACTCGAATGCCGTGATGTCAGCGAATTTGAAATGTTTTCATTGTGGTATTATGATAATTCAAAACAATTTTAGTGTTTTTAATCTTTTGAAGTTAATGGGACAATTTGATGGATGGGAAAGAAAAAAATGTTTACCGTAAATGTTTAGTTTGTGATTAATTGAGCGCTCCAGAAGTGTGTGTACCAATAAGAAGGGAACTAATTTTGTTCGCCTACTTTACATCAAGTTGTGTAAAGGGGCTGAAACCTATGGGCATGGGGTATATTCACTTGGCTAACACAAACAGTCCTCTAACTCATAATAGAACAAAAATAGAAAAATCAGAATAAAATAATGGCCTAACCCTAACCTGGTACACACACTACGGGAATACCATTACTTGTGTATGTTAACCATAGGTATATATATAAATATTTGCCAGCACGACGGGCTTCACTGTCGATGGATCATTAGACGTTATGTGGGCCAAGCTATAGCAAACTACTCAAAGTACATTATTTTCCTTTTCAGTCAAATTTCCAAATATTGCTCAGCGTTCTATGGAAAGTCTGTTTGAGGAGCTTACAAGAGATTGTGCTTGTGAAATACAAATTTCAAAAACCGTATCTATTTTCGCAGGCAAAGTAAGTTTTATACTAGAATACATCAATCACCTTAATAACCTCTGCGTATATGAGGCACAAATTTTTAGATTGGGAAGTCCATGGATATTTAGTTTATCAAGCCATTCTACATTTTATAAGCCAATGTTGTATTAAATTGGTTTGAAAGCGTTGTAGGCTATTACTATACCATGTAGCAAATATTGTGAAATGACCTCGGCGACAAAAAAAAAAACAAAGTAATATCTTTTGATTTAATTTGTAGCTAAGTGCGGTCAGTAACTTACCCAATTCCCTGGTCAATTTAGATATATTTTGCAAGGACATCTCACTCCCTTTTTCAATGCTGAAGACGAGGGAATGAAATTGAAAGACATGTTCTCCGTTGATGAATACATCGTTGTAAATGCAGAGTTAAAAATGAGAAGTGCTTCATCACAAGATTTGATGAGACTGTACCTTGCACAGGTACGTCTACTATCTTGTAATGTATATTGTTGTAATCAGTGGGGTAATTCAAAGATCAGTTCTTGGAATTTGTGATAATCAGCGCAATCCGTTCTTGTTTTAAATATTAGACGACCCACGAAAATTAGTCTCGTACAACGCAGCTGACTAACGTAAAATCTGATGTTCCGAACGTTATGAATTAGATTTATGTTGATCGTGTCATTTTAGTGCAGCTACGTATGGTAATATACATATATTTTCTGAATTGAGGGAACTCGTTGTTACATGGCCCGATACAAAAGAGAACCTGTTCTTGAAATCCCACCACTGGTTACAATATTTACATTACATGTATATACAAAAAATACGGTGTAGCATTGTACTCCAAATTCTGGTTCAAAATGAACACTTAGCCAGCCAGGATTGGCTGGTTGGACTGAGAAAATATGAAAGAAAATATACTATATATTATGGGCAAAATGTAGTACTGAAAATTTTAAACATGCTTAACTTATATTTTCGTAGATGTATGAAGAACAGGAATCTCTTCAATCTTCGTCGTATGGGACACTCAATGTCTGTGCTTGGTATGATACGAAAACAATGGAAATAAAAGTTGATATAATCAGTGCTGAAAACCTGGTACCGCGAGATATAAATGGCCTGAGTGATCCTTTTGTGCAGTTAACGTAAATATTTACTCACGACGTAATACTTTTCTGCTCAACGAATAAATTAAATATAGTCAGCTTTCTTGCGTTTTCAGATTAATGCCCAGGATGATGTTTCCTACACATAGACAAGTTCAAACGCTTCACAAAAAGAAAACACTCAACCCAATATTCGAAGGAGAGAGTTTTTCGTTTAAAGTTAATTGCGAAGATGCACAGCAAGACGGTACAATGATCGCTTTTACTGTTCTTGATCATGATGTCATTGGAAAGAATGATTTAGAAGGAGAATGTTTTCTACCGATGTGCAAACTTGACGGATTACAGCAGCAATCGTGAGTTGTTTTGCATGGGTTTTCACTCTATGCATACGTGGTGTCTGCAGGCGCTTTTTCCTATTAACTAGAATGACACCGGGATACCGGGTCGCTTAAATGTGTCTCCAAGCCTGGCTTTTGTTAGTATTTGATGTTCGACTTGACTTTTTCTCGGTATGATTTAATATTAGACTCACTCCCTCATAGGTGACGCTGCTCGATAACCATCTTATCTTTCTTAACTATGTTCGCCCATTGTGTGCTTTCGGCATGTGATAAAATAAACTACTGACTGGCTGCCTCAATGACTATTCGTCAGTTTTACGTTTCTACTTTTAGATCTCCTGGTACAAAAGTACAACAGACCTTCAATCTGCCACTAACTCAACCAAACATGGAATTATCAAATCAAGAACCCACGGACAAGAATGAAAAAGATACAACGCCATCGTCATCTCCTAAGCACACAGCGAAGTTGGTTCCGTTTGCAATTTTGAAACTTCGAACGACTTTTGACCGAGATGCAAGTGAATTCTGTAGATGGAGAAGTATGATGGAGAATTGGACAGAAAGCGACGACGGTCCAACAGCTCCTAGTTTTATTAAAGCAATCCTCAAATAGTTTTCTTTGAATTTAGTTAGTCAACCATAGTCCAGATATCTTTGTAAATATTGTAACATATCATTATTTATCCAGCTGTGTACATGGTACCCCAATACAACTTCGAATATGGTTGTTCCGTTACATAGTACGCAAGCAGTCATAACCTAGATAGAATATAACTGAATATTTCCGAACTGGGGGTTAGTGCAGTAGGCTATCTGTATTTCCACTCTGTAACAAAGTTGCGAAAAAAAAACCGAAAGAGATAAGACTGTAAAATTACGTAATTTTATACTTAATTCTTCATAATGCATTCCCTGGGAAAATGCGCTACACGGTTTCAAAAAGTGAAGTTTTGCCAGTATTGGATATGTGATCTTTCAAGCTGAGTTTTTTGTCTTACATAATATAGCTCAACTTTTTCCTGTCTCTGTTCATCTCTTCAGTCGATATTTTGGGCTCGATAATAAGGAATGAATCATGTTTATGAGTCCACGTTTTTTTCCCCTTTTTATTGTTATTTGTTATGTTTCTATACAAACTTGGGAATACTATTTTCGGGGCTCCCGAAGTATGCGAACCAAGATGGCGGACATCGGAATGTAATATGTGTACTAGGTTAGGGTTAGGCCATAATTTTAGGTATAAATACTACGGGAGGCTCTTGGCTAGTATTTGAACTGATAATAGGACTAAAATAAGAAAAATTGGAAAAAAATTATCGCCTAACCCTAACCTGTTACCCATGTTACGTTCCGATGTCCGCCATCTTGGTTCGCATACTTCGGGAGCACCCTATTTTCTGTCAAGCTTATGTTCTAACAAAAATAATACAAAAATATAAACTCCGATGTATGCTCCTCAGTAACAGATTGATCAATGTGTGTTTTATGCCAATACCAGGGTCACGATTGTAGTTTTTGGATGAAAGAAGATACGTAACGTATTGGTAATTTAATCATACAGCTAGATGGTCAATTCATGAGATATAGCCTATATATGCAATTTTGAGAAAACACTTCCACATCTGTTTCAAATAAATGATTAAAATCTAAAGCCTTCGCTTAATCTAAATGTTTAATGGTTATGATAAAGCCTACAGTATATATAGATATGTGATTATTATTAAAAAGTGTGCATTTGAACATTGTATTGCACCCATGGATATTGAAGACATTTGTATCTACTTTTATTACCACATATGGTGCTCCCTTGAACATTGCTTCCCGAATGAACTTTTGCACTTTAACCCTTGCCGAGGTGATTTTCTTTCAGCGGAATAACGCACATGTACAGCCTAAATCATAAATCCTGTATCCTAAATATGAGTACCTACCGCAAAGGAGCAGAACCCCATTACAGCGTTTGGTTAATACACGTTGGTGTATAGTAATGGTCACAAATAAATGCATTGCTCACGACAACTGGTCGCCCTGAGAAATGATAAATAAACGTGGATGAGAGAAAACAGAGAAACGACCTCGACTTGAAAACAACATATAAAGAAATATTGCTCATTTGTTGATATATATAGATTCGCCATTTATAGAGGAACGAATAAAAAATTGCAAAAAATGTGCTCGTCCAATTTATAGGCCTATTTTGGCTTTGATCACATAGGCGTCAATGCAACTACTTTATTCTAAATATGCCGTAATTTTTTTGTTTTTTTGTAGTAAAGTTCTCTTGTGATGTTCAGCGGTAATTCAGACTACGTGTTATGGGAATCGTTTTACTTCACTGTGGCTGAAAGTAACTGTTTAATCAGGCAATTGGAAGCACAGACTGGCCAAGTGGCTTTAAATGATTGAATAAGACAAGTTTGGTTGAAATTATTGAAACAGTATAATTGCTCTGGTGGTCCGGCCAACCTCCTCTTCAACTCTATGGCCCTGGGGGTGATGTGACTGATCAGAATTGTATGATCCAAATAAAAGGTGCCTGTGCCGCTATTTCTTGGACATGTCAAAAAAGCACGGTAATTGAGTGAATCTACCGAAACAGTGATTCCTAACACGCCTATCGACACGTGTCCGACATTCATACAAAGTTATCTCAGCGGAAGAATACCAAATATCATCTGGGACCGGCAGGAAAAATACAGGGACCGCTATGCAGTCAAGAACACCTGCCATAAATTGTTAATTTCATAGTCGCCAGGTTGAACAAAACTGATAGCATTGGAAAATTAACCCCGTGAATATTAAATATTGGCATCAACCAAGTTCGAGGTATTTGTGGGCAAATACGGCAATGAAGGCCCCAAAGATCAGTAGAAAAATAATGACGGTCACTGGTAAGACAGTGCTGGGCACATTTAACACCTGAGGAGCAGTGACCAGCCCACAATAGCTGGTTAAGAATCAATGTACCAAACGGATAATGAGCGTTTTTTCGACTATACGAAATGGTTTGCATTTTCCAGATACCATTGTTTTTGCAGTTATCACTGATTCACGCCATATTAAACTCGGGGGCCAGTTTGATTCCAGCAATATTTCTTTCGTACGGCCTTGACTAGACTTTGGCGCCATTTTAATATTTCTCTGTCTTTAGTACATAAAAAATATCGACATTTTTGTTGCTCAAATACTTGTGTCGCCGTTTTAAAATTGAAATACCATTTTTTAACTTTTCGGGAGACATAAGTACGACACGACTTATTCGAGTTAACTAAATCCTCAAACAAAAGGTTTTTGCAACTGTGCAAACTCAAAATCTCTACTACCCCTCGAAGTTCAAAAGGCAGGACGCCCAACAGAATGCACCAAACGATTTGGTGACACCTTGCTGAAAGAATTCTTTTCACCCATTGTGTTGGGAATTGGCCATAAAATATTTATATTTTTCCATTATGTGAATGCATGCATATTAGCGTATATTAAAGTTTCACATTCAAAATATAGTACCCATTTCGATCCATATTATTGAAATTTCTACTCAAAGGCCGTAATCAATGTGGAAGAAATTGTATTCATAAATGAAATGGTTTAATATTTGCAACATCATAAAGTGCAACAAGACGAAATTTTGCTCAACTTGTTTTCTTGTAAGAACTGTGAAGATACCTATTCAAACATGTTGCCAGGTATACAAATATTTGCACCAAAGAGGCAGAATCCCATGACAAATTGAGCAGTTTATCAGGACTGCAAAGCATAGTCCATAATAGAGTCAAAGTCCTTATATACCTGAATAGAGTAAGTACATGCTAACACTTACATGTGGCCGATCCCAGGCTCATACTGGAAAAAGGTCATATTTCAGATATGCTAGCATGCAGTGCTCATTTAAGATAGCTTCTTTCAAAATATTGGTATTTCATAAAGATAGAAGCATTTTATTGTCATTCACATAATTGAGAAGTTTTAGGCAAGGTTCATATTGTGATAGAGTTTTCTGGCATCCAATGAGTATTAGTTTATGCTTTGAACGAGTCAAAGCTACATTCAATCTTCGCCAATCACTGAGAAGTTCTCCTTTCTAAAAAGATTGACTGATGTTAGGTGCAATTTCAAAATTGTTCGCGTTGTTTCGCTAGTCCTAATACTTTTAAGTGTATATGCCGATCGATTGCATTTCAGCATCATGTATAGTCGGACAAAAATAGAATGCTAATAAAAATAATCTTCAATTCGTCACTGCAATGTATGCTCAAATCTCCCAAAAATAATTCAATAAGCAATATTACCTTTTCTCCTAAATCTCCTTTTCTACATCTCACAAATGAAACAATGATAACATTCTTATCTCTTCCTTGATATTTATCAACAGTACTAATCTCAATCTTGTCCGGTTGTTCTGATGAAAAAAGTTACAAGTGATGCTAGGCTTACCCATCAATTTAAAACAAGGTGATGTAAGACAGTTGGATATTCACGCTCGGCAATAGAGAAGTTTGTGATGCAACAATGGATCAATGCACTATATCTTGCAACAATAAAACATTTTCAGAAGCATAATCCTACATGCTCAAAAAGTAAATAACATTGGATGCAAAGTAATATTGGACATGCCTGTGAACTACTGAACTGAAAGCATTTTCGTAAAATTAAACATAAGGTTTACTCTGTGTGTATGTTGCAAATATCAATATGTAAATTGGCAGAGCATTAAATATAAAAAAATGATATGCTAATATTGAGGCACACTAAATATTGCACTTCTAATTAAGTACAGTTAGTATAGTAGAGTATGCGTATCAACACTAGAAACAGTGAAGATGTTAGCAATTCATGGTTAGTTTGTAGAAATGGAAATTATTTTTGATTAGTGTTTTAAAAATTTTACGAAAAGCTAACACCCTCAAATCAGATGTAGTGTAATAATTGAAATACTCACCCGAAACTACATTCATGAGAGAATCTTCTATTGTCTTCAACTGTTTTCGAAAAGGTGCAATGACACCAATATCATTTGGTTTACAACCAGACTGATAAAAAAATATAATATGCATGAAATAACTCAAGTTTGCAATTGTACAGAAGAGGTTTCCATACCTGCAGCAAGTGATCAACAATAATTTTCACAATTTCTGCTTCAGTTTTATTGCAAATTCCATTTTCAATTTCTTCCTCAAAATTTTGCAACTGAAACAAAATGTGCCCATCAGATCATTTCACATTCAATTTGTATTTTATTTTAAAATACTCCTAGATCAAAAAGACAAGTCATCAGTTTCAAACTTCAAAATATTGCTAGTCTGCAAATTGTTTAAAATTATGTAAAAACGAGATGGCAAATACAATATAAAATCTAACCACACTTTTTTCTCACACAATGCTCATTCACATCTATCACTCTGAACAAGGGTCTACATAAGCAGCCACTGATATATAACAAAGTGTAATTTTATTTGAAAAAGACTGGAATCTTTCTGGTTCGGCATTACTTTGGGCTGAAATTTGAACCCGAGATGTATAATCTACATTGAAGTCTAACGTTATAACTATTTTGTCTTCATGCCACCCTCGACGGTGGTCCCGAATGGGTGGCTTTGCCTATCCATAGTTATAAAATGAACTTCAAATTGCTTTCCTCTTCCCCGGGATAAATATGTAAATCCTATTCTTATCCAAAGCAAACACAAGATGTCCCTATGTGAATAGATTGTTTTGACAGATTTTGGTTTCAGTTGTAACAGTAAGTGGTACAGATTCATGATGATACATACAGAGAAAACATAGTATCCATTCTGCATTTCCACACAAATAAAATTAGTTTTTATAATAAAAACTTACATTTGAGGTATCCAAAAATAGCACAGGTTTTTCTGGATGAAGTGCATGAAGTAGCCATTGTGATACAGGAATCTGATAGTCGTACATCGGCATTATTTATTTTCATACAATTTCACTTTGTTCGACACTTCATTCCAATGTGATAATTGCAATCTAGCTGATGCAACAGATTCCAAAGCACATTCAAGTCTTCCTTCATATGTCACATAGTTGCTAACTTGCATTATTATACTAAAAGAAACAAGAAATTAGTGTAATCAAATTTGAAATGATCAGTAACTGTTTGCCTTGGCCAGTCTTGGCCAAGGTGAAGTTGTGATATTACAAACCATAAAATTAAGCTTTGTTCAATACTCTAACAACACATATAAATAATTGGTACGCATTTTGTCAATATTTTGGGTAATTTGGAATGCGTAGGAATGAATTAAAATAATTCATAAACGAATTGAAAAGTTTCGGTGCTCGAATACCAATCCTGAACGAATTATATTTGACTATCCAGGTATCACTGTATATGTATAAGGTCTTCTGAATCAATTAATATTTTAATGCTGTTTTACACAACATATTACTTATTCAACAGTTTAATCTACCTGTACTGTGGCAAAATCATTGTTGTGTGGAATGAAATTGATTATGGATATTGGATAAATTGAATTTTATTTATTATTAGGCCATTCCTGTATTTAACATGCAGCTTATAGGTTAGATCAGTGGTTCCCAAACTTTTTTGACAATCGCCCCCCTATAGTAGTTTATACAACTTCATCGCCCCCCCCGGCAATACAAAAAAATGTCAGAAACGAATATATTACAGACCAAATAAGAAGACAAATCATAGTTTATAGTGTTTTTTAATGAAATAGATGAGATTGGTGTTCTTTAGCTTCTTTTTTATTGTGTCCAAAATTACCCCGTTTACTGGTGGAAAGGCTATTTTGTTGTTTTGATAGCAATAGTAGCACGGCTGAAAACCCCTTTGTCACCATATAATAGGTCGGAAATGAAAGAATCCAGGGTTCTACCTCCTCAAACACCGCCGTGTACTCTTGCCTTATAGTATTTCACTTCCTAAATTCACTCTATTTCACATTAAAATAATAAAAACAAGGTTAATTTTCCCAAACTTATAATAATGATTTTTGTACATCTCATTTATTCGTACAGCATGATGACATGCACCAAAATACTTTGGTAAAATTCATCCTCGATTCCTCATCCTACCACGGCCTCCAGTCCGATCACCAGTCCATAATTAATCAGCCATTTGTTTTTGGATTCATGGACTCGGATGTGGAAGAAGCCGTGATCGACTATCGGCTACGGCCCAGGGGACGGCAAATTTTATGTCGCTCGCGGGACAAAATTCAGGGTTGCCATAATTTTTTGAAATTAAAAAAGGAACAGTGCGCAAAAACTGCGACAATTCGTGAACTCAACTCAGTCGTCTTATTGAAAAAATATTACAATGACATTTAATGTGGCACTGTCTTGTTGCTGCATCACGCTGGATAGCTTTACGACGCCAAGATTGGAATATTTTCTAAATGGGAAGCACTAATCCCAGTTCTTTGCTTTAGGATATAATAAAATTTAGACATAGACTTCCTTGTTTACTTCGTAACATTGGCCAATCAGCAAGATGCAAAAAACGTGACAATGCCCCTTTTCACATCCGCTCAGACACGCTCACTCAGACAGATTCTCAGGCGTGGTCGTGAACATTACCTCAGTTTCGCGATTTTGAATTATGTTCGTTAGTTTTTAGTTGTTTTTCGGAAATTTAAATATAAATCAAATAAATCAATGATTACTTTGTCTTCTTATGAGTTTCAGTTAAATTACAGGAATCAAAAATTAGTGTAGAAATAGCTGTGATAGACTAGGCTCAAATTCTTTATCGGTACTTTTAAAAAACAGATTGTTGAATGGTGTGTATTAGAATGATAGTTTGAAACAAATACCCCATTTTACACGCAACAACTCGCGAAACCACACTTAAAATAAACACCGAAAATTTTAAAATGGTAAAGTATGGGAAGAATTTTCCGCGGTCAAAGGTCGGGGAAGGTCCATTCAGTGAATCGTCCCGGGCCACATTATTTTACTCCGGCCGTATTTTGCCGACCACTGGGATACGCAACTACCGTACCTTACTGCGAAGACGAGTCCAGAAATCCTTTCGCGTGTGATAATCGCCCATGTGATTCAAGCCTGCGAATGCACACAGATTACAGAATTAGGTGCGCCGAACATAAAACAGGTTTTGCGAAATCGCCCCCCTATCGCCCCCCTTCAACTTTTTCGCCCCCCTCTGTATCGTTTTCGCCCACTGGGGGGCGATATCGCCCACTTTGGGAATCACTGGGTTAGATCAATATATTAGAAAAGAAATCCAAAAAGTTAGGAAAAGAAAAAAATCAAGTTTGAAAATTAAGAAACAAAATTTACTTGTTCATTCTATATTGTAGGGTAAGTTCACATAATGATGATTTATGATGTGATAGTCTCCGGAATAAACTCTCGTCTGCTCCTATAAATCTGAAAAACAAATACATAACATACTAAATGAGTTCATAGAGTTTCATGAATTAATGCTAAACTACCATATACACATATACAAAATGCGGTACTCATGTAGAATGTGAATCAAGATGGCGGACACCAGAACGTAGTATGCGAACCAGGTTAGGGTTAGGCTATAATTTAGGTACAAATACTACGGAAGTCACTTGGCTAGTCCTTGAAATCGCAATAGAACTAGAATGAGGAAAATAATAATAAAATTATGTCCTAACCCTAACCTTGTACACATACTACATTCCGGACCCGGTGTCCACCATCTTGGTGCACATACTACGGGAGCGCCAAAATGCAACCTGAACAACTACTTAAAACTCATACTTTGCCTTCCTGCTTTGAACAAGTGGTGGAAGTTGTCTGTGATCACCAACTAATACAAATCGATCAGCATGAAGTAGTGGTGCAAGACATGCTGGTTGTGATATTTGTGAAGCTTCATCTACAATGCAAACATCGAATCTTGATCGAGTTGATTGTCTCGATCCAGGTGAAGTGAACATCACATGAGATGTTACCGCAAGACAGGTACATGCCACAATTTTCTGAACAAAAAGTGGGAAATGAATATAGAAAATCTCCAAACTGTCGAATGAATAAGGCTGTGAAGTTTGAGACAAATTACAAACTTTCCCAAGACTGTGTAAAATTTTGAATTCCCTGGAGCCGGAAGTCGAAGTTTCCAGCAATCTGAGGTCTAGAGCTGGGGTTGAAACATTTTAAATCCCGATAAAAATTAAGAACAACTTACTGATTCTGAATACAGAGTGTCCAGTTGTTCGGGAGTTTTCATATTTTTTGACAATTCTTCCTCAGAAAATGGATGTATTGATGAATGAATTTGTGATTTGCGTCCGAGACGTAGAAACTTCACCTGAAACAACAATGAATACATTAAATTATTACCGTGGTACTTTGGATAATATTTAACGAGATAATCAGTAGTGCTGGTACATTTGAACTTCATACATTGTGCCACATCGGAACGGAATTAAATCCGGATCTTTTCCATTTATTTATTATTTACACTCCATGGCTCTAACAATTTGATGATTGTCAAGTGTCAACACTAGCCAAGCAAAAAATTCGTATATTGCCAATGTCAATTGTGGAACGATGGTCAGAATTGTTACCTACCAACTACATGGAATGAGCATCTCAAAATTTGCTTAACCAAAATCAGTTTTTCAGATTGCAAATGAAAAAAATGATATTGGCTAGATTATCATGTTTACAAGAAGTATGATAGCGGTAATTTATAATTTAACACATATACGTATACCCACAAATTTGAATTTAAGTTATGTAACCGAAAAAGTATGATGACTGACAAAAACACTATAACTTAAAATTATAACTTAACTAAGTATTAATATGAGTGCTTAATCCTTCATGTATATTACACAAATTGTTCAAAATAAGCAGCAAATAGCAACTATATATGGCAAGATAAGAAAAAGTAGGTTAAAATTGATGCCTCTTGAGAAGCATGATGAGAAAAGTTTCACAAAAAATGAAATTTCTACCTTATATTTGATTAGTTTAATGAGGAGAGTATCAATGGCAGAATGTGTGTACGAGGTTAATAATATCCGACATCCACATAACAATAATATTCTGACCATGGCAACAATGGTTGTTGTTTTTCCACTTCCTGGCATCCCTAAAAAGAATAATGAATCACATTGTAATATTGAACTTCAAAAATATAATATTTGGTACATACTAGTTACTCTGATCATAACACAACAATTATTTTTCGTCAAATGCATACCAACAACTAATGTATATTCATTGGATAGTAAGACTCGTTTTATAGCTTGTCGTTGTGTCCTATTCAACCCTCTCAACATTTTTGCAACATCATTTTTAGAAGTCCTCGGTATTACCTTCTGAAGATCTGTTGTGAATGTCGGTTCTCTAGAAAGATAATATATTTTTCAACCAAAAATATGTTTCCTGCAATTAAAGATAGATAAAGAATCATCTCTGAAAAAAGTTTATAGCCACCACTAAAGTGCCAAAAGATACTCAGACTATAAAGAAATATTGTGTTGAATTGCACATTAGCAAATACCAATCTACATGAGGATAGGATAGGATTTACATATTTATCCCGGGGGAGAGGAAAGCCGATAAGACGGCTTATCCATATGGCGAACCACGGCCTCTCGTCCGGTTACCATTCCAAGTCGGGTATGGGATTAGTTTTACTGTATTGTTTGTTTTCGGAAGCATGGACTTGATGGTGGAGGAAGCCGTAACCGACCAGCGGTTACGTGAACCACCCAACGACGGCGAGGAGTCCAGCAATCCTCTCACACATAACCGTCCCTGCATGGGATTCGAACCTGCGAACCCACGCAGAGTAGTTAGAGGTGCGGTGGCGAGCGTATTCGTAACGCTTAGCCGAGATGAGATGCATGTAATAAATTGCATAGCCTTACCTGAACATGTGAGATAGGTATATTGATAGTATAACAGGCAATAAAATGATTGATAATCAGCATAACAGGCAATAAAATGATTGATAATTAAATAAAAAATTAAACCAATAAGAAGTAGTACACGTTGACTCACTCATAACAGAACTTTTAAACTAGGAAGATTTTGATGTCAAAATTTTGTTCAGATTGAAGTGAGAAATATATTTATAAAAACATCAGCTTGATCAATGACATTTCTGGCCAAAACAAATTGTTTAGAAGTTTCGATACATTAAATTATAAGTTTTGTATTCATTCTTCTTGAACAAGATTTAAAACGAATGAGGAAAGTTGTTGCATCTTGCTAACAAAAGTAACAAATTGACCAGGCAGTACAAGCGAGGAATGTGGATTATTTAAGCACATTAGATTAAGAACTACCAATTCTTTCCGTTTCAGATAAGTCTCACTAAGTGTAAATTTCACTTCATAATTTCAATTAACTAAATGTACCAATTGTCAGTCACTTAAGCATATGCCTTTAAAAAATTGAAAAAAATAAGTAAATACTAAGACAAAAAAGATCCAACTCGCTTCTTCCATTGGTATCTAAACATACCTGTGATTTATTATCAATTCCCTCAAATTGTTTGCAGATAATGAAGATTTCATGAGGACTGATAAATTATGGAATGATGCTTTGAAACTGTTTATGGACGGCCATTCATGTTTATCAATAGTATAGGTCATGTCTTTTGGGTATCCCTCAAATTTTCTGAAAATAAAACATACATTTCTGAATTAAAAAATGAATTAGTCAAAGGTATGGATGATAGCTCAATATTGCCTAGTAGTCATATAAAAACGATGGGCGCATTAAATATCAGTCAATCAGTTACCTGTCAGTCATAACTGTGATAAAATTTTCCGTAACATTGGTGACAATTCCACTGGCCATCGCAAGAAATTCATGCTCACTTCCACTTATAACAACCATCTCATCTTTCTCAAATATATTGAAATTGAAGGCAGTGTTGAGTTTTGATGACCTAAAACAGAAGGTCAGTATCAGCTACCAGTACTTTTGAAATACAGGCGGCTAAGTATCTCTAATCTGAATGATAGAGAATGACATATGAAACCAATTTGTATGCAAACCTGTATAAGTGCTTGCAAAAGAAGCATAGAAATTTTTCAATGGTAAAGTATCAGATGGGTTTTTCTGACAATCAATGATCAGAAAAATATTCAATGATTGTAGAAAAAAATGCATGCAGACATGGTGACAATGATTGCGATAAGTTCATAATGAATTTATCCAGAAATAGAGAGAAATCACACAAAACAACATAGGTTCTATGGTTTAGAGTTGGTTCGGCACATTACTATGATCGAATATATAGAAGAATCACAATAGTTTTGAACCTCATCTGTCATTTATTTCCATCAAATCTAGAAGTAATTGAATTCAATGAAACATCAAGAACACTTCACGAAAATTGTCCAGAAGAAAACATATAACTTTATAGAAAACGTGCTTCCTGACTACGTGTGTATGAAGTGCACACTATTCTACAATCACTCTTAATTTATAACAATTCTGTAATATGATCGGGTACATTAGAAATTAGAATCATGTTGTTGTATTACATGCTAAAATTTTTTATTGAAAACGCTGATAATTCTGTACATCTGATATTCTACAATAAAGATCCCAAAATTTCGATACATCAGATCAAATAAAATTCTTAATACCCCAAAACACACAAAAAAAATCACTTTTTGAAGGTTTGGAGTGATGTTATTCCATCTTCATTTGATATTCCGTGTCCAGCCAGCACAAGGTCAGTTACGCAGTGATAAATCTCTTGTCTGGAAATTATCACATATAAATTAGAAATCGGATTCAAGCAGTATACTCAATGAATAGAACATTTGTTTAAGTATACATATTTACAGGGTGAACAGACCAAGTGTAGACAAATATTAATTTTGAAAAAAAAAACATGGTTTGGATCAGGACAGTTCCACTATTTGTATGAATTTAGTATACTATGACATCTGTAACGACCGCAATATAGCAACTGTTTGAATCGGGAAAGTCCCCAAGTCAAATTTTTAGGCTTCTAAATGTGGAGCAAGCAGATCTGGCGTATAAAAACCAGCTTCCGTCATGGCCTGAGTCGGGGTAACCACAGCTGGAGAGAGGACGCCTATCTTCTTCATCGAAAAGAGGGTAAAGGTGAATCAATACCTTTTAGATTTATATTGTAGATATTTTAATAAACGTTTGTCTACACTTGGTCTGATCACCCTGTATATATATTATGATATTCCAATTATTCAATCCAACAAAGTTCCAATGGAATAAATAAACCAAATTGTGATATGGAAATGGTCACAACAATTATAGGCATATTTTCTTAATAACTTTTGAATAACAAATTTATCTATAATTATGTTGAGGATTTTAATCTTGACAAGTCTATCAAAGTAAGGAAATGAGGCACAGCATATTATAATTTCAACAAATGGATCAATGAACATACTTTGACAGGCTGAATAGGGTTTGACCTAGCTTTCCTGCTCAAAGTATCGTTTAATGACAAGGTGAGTGTGATCACATTGCACTTTTCATAATTTATTAGGGAACATATTACTTGACAAAGATATGCCATTTACATGATAAAACAACACCCACGAGAATAGATAAGCATCTGCATCACATATGTATGAATTACAAAGCTGCCCTTTTTAGTAGTATCTGCCTTAGATAGGAATGTTGAAAAATCTTAAAAAAAGGACAAAAGGCAGAAACCTTTCCTGGGGTGTCCTCAGCCAGTAATACTGATTTGTCTGTTTCCTCATTGATTTTCTTGTTTCTAATAAAGTGCACGTCATCCAGTGATTAAAATAATCAACATCTTTTTCAGACAAATGAGATGATTCTGCTTCCATTAATTTGATTATAGAAGATGAAGGAAAGAATGACGACTGTTTTTTGTCGATTGCCCTTGAAATAAAAAAAATACACTAAGTCAGCGGTTTACAAACTCTTCTTCCTCATATCTGCATGCTTTTCTTTCGAAATACAGAAATAATCACTCATGTTCGCTAAGCTTGATTCCGCAAATAAAGAAACTGCAGCTCGCTAAATTGCAGCAAGTAGTGTCTACCTCTATTGTAATTTACGTAACAGAAAGTAAACGACATAGAAAATTAAAATGAATTTATTGATTCCTATACAAAGCATTTAAAAAGAAACAATACATTTATAATATGTAAAATATTTAATTGTATGTTAGATATGTGTATTAACACAATTCTGTTAATTCTCGGGGCGCACTAGTGACAGCGCCCCATTTAGGAACCGTTGCACTAAGTACCGGTAAATCATTTTACGAAGAAAGAAAATAAAACATAATAGACTTACTTATACACAAGTGAACAATTCCTGAGTTGAGAACAATTTCTGCATAATCTTTCGTCATCAATAGTTGGTGGAAATGACAAAGGATCGTAAAATATTGTAGAATTCGAATTTGTTTCAGAAATTGTTCTTACCATATAATTAGCAATCTGAAACGAGAAGATATAGAAAAGTTTAGATAAAAATATTGAAGTGGAGTATTGGAGTGGCAATTATTACTTGTTTACATGTTTGTATAGGATATAATTTGATAATGGATTGTCCCACTTGTCGGGATCTACTGACGACCTGATTGAAAGACCGGGTCTCATCAATGGTTCATAAGACAATATATATAAACTTTTCATCATGATCGGGCTGCTAGACTAGGACATCGTGCTGCTCATTGGCTGATTATTCAGAAGCTTGTCCAGTTATAAAGGTCCGATAAAAACTTCAACCAATATATCCCTCCAGTGTGACAAATATTTTTCTTTGTCATCTTTATATCCAATAGTTGGTGTATTAAATATGAAGGAATAAATGATAGCGAAGAAACCTTTAAGCGGAACCTCTATAATAAATATGATAAATATATAAGCATTGTTTGATTCCAATAATGAAACTGAGGATGAATTTAAGAGCCCAAAACTTTGTGATAATATTTCCATTCTTGAATCGCATATTTCAGTTAGGTTTGAATAAAGTTTCGTGTCAACCTTTCACTGAAACAGTTTCTCGTATGCCGAAATGCAGTTGCCCGTCAAAAAGAAACCCGCCGCTAATCAGGGTAGGAATGTGCAGTGCCGTTCTTATCACTTGGCACTGCAAAAAATGTTTATCTTATGCCACTCACAGTGCGGCAGACTAATAGATGCCTCGATGAAATGGTATAACCATAGATTTCCAAATCAGATAATGTCAAAAATTTATTATTGTATGATCACATAATCGGAGGCCGAAGTTTTAGAACCTTATTTCTTACTTTATTTATGCATCATGGTTACTTGGATATTGGCTTTGTTTTTATCAAAACAGCACACATGTTTGAATCATTTCAAAAATGTATAGCCAGTCTGTTCGCCTGGTAAAGCAAATGAATAAAGAATTGTCAAAAGTTTGTTAGCTGCCGTCAGCAATCTTAGGCGTCAGTTAGATCACTTTATACAGAAAACGTGTGTGGAGTTGTTGATTAAGAAAAGCGGTCTATCGAAATTGTCACTTGACAATCGTTCTCTCCATGATGCTATAAAGTCAAACGAGCAAGTACAAGATAGATGACTGAGAATTAACTAACAAACAAATGAAATATTTCCTTTAAATTCACCTTTTGAAAAATAATGAACTACATCAACCTACCTCATTTCTTATTATAATGAGCTCTCTTTTGTCATTTCTTTTCAATGCAATGCTGGATAAATTGCCAGTTTTTAGATATAACAGAAGTCCTGCAGGTATTGTATAATCATCTAAATTGATAATATAATTTTACTATATAATGATAAACAATATAACAGCATATTAATAGGAATAATTCATAATATTATGGTACAATTAGACGGTTTTATGTTCATTATGCGTCAGAAAATATCTATGAACTTAGCAAAACTTGGCAGTTAGTAAACAGTTAAATCAATGAATCATTTTCAGATTTGCATAACATATGAATTTATTGACTAAAAAGTAACCAAGAATTAACTTCTATCTCAATTATGTTTTAACTTTTTGGATCTTATACATGTTCAATATTACATTTTATTCGCAATATTTCGAGTGTTTGTGAAACAACTACTCGCAAAAAAAGCCACTGAAGCCACAGTCACTATTACGAAGTTAGACACTGAAACTCAAGTGTTAATTGCTCTTTTAAAAACTTATTCTGTTTAACTTCATTTAATCGACTGATATTACCACACTCACCTCTACTGATTTTTCTTCTCAGTTCGCAAAACATTGAATATATTGCAACCTAAACACAACATAATTGTTCTTTCTTAAGTGGTTTATACTTGAATGAAATGCTTCACATTTTGTCACGAAAATGAACTAATGAGAGCTAATAAGAAATTTATAATTAATTGTAACTTTTGGTAATTCAACGGAAGAAGTTAGAATCGAATTTACTAGAATATATTTCTGTCTAAAGTCCAGTATTTCGAAGTATGCTTTTCATCATTTCTAATTATGATTGTTATTAATCTGATCATTGGACAAAAACACAAATAAATGTTCAAAGAGGGTCGACAGGTATCATTGGGTTCAAAGGTTAAATACTGGTTGTTTTTCACGTTGGACAAAGAAATTTCCAACTACATGTTACGTGTACATTCTACTAATTTGAAACAAGTAGAACAGCATCTAATTGTAGCATATGAAGTAAGGCAGTACGGTACGAGAAAATGCATAGACAACTAAGCAGTATTTCTATCTACGGTATATTGTTTGAAATTCATAGCTGTTGATCAGCTTCCCAGATTAATCCAAACATACTTGAGCATGATGTTCAGTTGAATGACTTTCTCGTCCTGTTTTCAATTCAAGGGGCAAAGTTATTTTCATACAGTTTGATTTTTTATCATGAGTTTGTCTACTGACAAGAAATCCTCCAGTCAAATCAATTTTTCCTTTTAATCCATACAAAGGAGACCAAACATTTTCTTCAATATCTTTCACCTAAAAATATATTCTTAGAAATTGAAAGGTCTGGTGCAAATTTAGAGTCATATAGGCTACAAAAGAAATTATCATCAATTCCATGTCGGGTATGGGATTAGTTAGATATTTGTTTTCAGAAGCATGGACTTGATGGTGGAGGAAGCCATAACCGACAAGCAGTTACGTGAACCACCTTACGGCGGCGAGGAGTCCAGCAATCCCCTCGCACATAACTATCCCCGTATGGAATTCGAACATGCGAACCCGCGCAGAGTAATTAGAGGTGTGGTGGCGAGCGTAATCCTAACGCTTAGCATAAAGAGCCACACCGCCTCGCCAGAATAGGTGTTGAATTTTACAAAAACTTACTCCTTATTGATTTTAAAAATAAAGCAGGTATAAGGCTATAATGGCATTTTCATCCAAATATTTTTACCTCGGTCAGAGCAAGATTCGCAGAAAATTTGATTCCTCCTTTGCTATTAAGTCCTATCTCAGTGTTTTCATATCCTGGTGGTAAATTCATATCAACTCGTCCAATTCCCATCGTTGGATTGTTTCGAATAAAATCTCCTTTCCAAGTTAGAAGAGAAGGAATGAATTCTTTCACTCCATCCAAAACTTGTTTTTGCGTAGTTCCAACAGATAAACTAAAAGTCAATCATTGAGATTATTTAGTAAAATGAGAACAGATTATGTTAAGTAAAACCTATCTAATTACACTAAGTTGAGCATACACTGAAACATGAGGGGTGAGCAACAAAAAAACTTCAGAGGAGACAAATGAAACAAACAAAAGAACAGGATATCAAAATGTTAACTTCACAAAACACAAAACCATACCCGCTACTTAATATAGTTCAAGACAAAAAGGGTTGATACTTAAAAAAAAATTATTGGAAAAGTTGCAAAGAAAAACCTGCTTTTTGAGCTGTTTTTTAAATAATGTTTGGGGCTGTATTCACCAAAGATGTTTAAAACTGAAAATGTATGTTTTCCTCACTGTTGCATAACAGTTTTTCCAAGTTTCACCATATTGGCTCAAACATTCATTAAAATATACTAAATCAGTTTGGACTAATGTAATAATTTTTACATCAATGATACTCACAGGTCCTTTAGAAAGTTTGTTTTACCAATAATATTTTCTGCCATTTTTACAATTTGTTCTGAAGTAATTTTATCATTTGATTGAGAAATGGTTTGAAACAAAGTGTGAACAATTGTACCAATCAACATTACTGGCTTCTCACAATCTCCACTCTCTGTATTCTATATTAAAACAATACAATCTTATACTATTTGTTTTAATGTTACATTTTGAATAGTTGTACTGGCACCTTATCCATTAAAATGATCCAAATCAGTGAAAACACCCATATATGACTTCATCACCCAAGGTCATGTGCCTTAAAAAAAATTTGAACACTGCTTACTTATATACCGTAAGTTTTTCTTGAGATCAGAGACACACACGACAGATAGATCATGGTTAAGCTTGAGAAAATTCAAGTCTTCACTGTCAGGAAAATAGATTGCTGAAGGGGAAATCCAAAAAGCAGATGTTTTTGAGAAAAAATTTGAAATTTCTACACTTTGGGGTTTACACTTAGCAGCTGATCCAGTGAAGCAACCTGACTTGTATGGGAATGGGTATTAACTGTATTTTTATTACCGGTATATTTCTGACAATGAGCATTTTCCATGATGGCTGAGCATCACCAGTGACCTGTTACAGATGACTGATCATGATCAACCAGCTGTTAAGGTGAAGTGACCATATGCTCCTTGTAGTGGGGTGTGACTTTGGTTGAGAAGAACTTGGGGAGTTAACAAAGGGAGCAGTCTAACATGGTTCCAAGTCCATAATATATTAAGCATTTACTCAGAGATAAATTCTATTATACCATCAAAAAATTTCTAATACACCAACACCATTTCCTCCATAAGATTTTAGATGGAGAAATAACGAACCTTAAATCTTTCACTCAATATCGCTCTCCTCTTACATCCAATTGCATTAGATACTGTTGTCCCACTGATTAACAGATCAGGATGTGTAACTATCAAATTGCTTTGTGAATCAATTATTATTTTATGATTGTTAGCTTCATATCCATCATCTATTATCATGTTTATGATATCGTCTTTAGAAATCTTCGTGTTAGCCCTTTCAATAAATATCAAATATGAATATCACAGCAACTATATAGGTATAGGTAAACAACAACAGGTTAGGTTATGTGAAAAATACAATTCAAAAACCTCATACCAGCCCATTTTTAATTCACAAGTCATGTCGGCTTTTGACGATTCATTTTTTAAAGAGAGTGTCTTTGAAGGAAATCCATGCTCATCATTACTTTCTTCAACATCGATAACATTAAAACGATATTTTGCAAGAGCAAATTTAGTGCTGCATCAAAAATATAAAAAAAAATCGTTAAAACATTTAATACCACATTTCCAGACCGGGGAGAAATCTCTCCCGGTTAGTATTTGCTGTGGTATTACTATTTGTCTTTAGTTCATCATTATTACTATAATATATATGCACACATAAATAAAAAGTGATAGAATGAAGAGTTCCAAAGTAGGAAAAGGGAGGAAATTAACGAAAAAGATTGAGAATCACTGATTTAATAGATTTACCATAATACGATATGTAGGTACCGTATATAACAAAAGTACATTAATAGGATTTTATTAAAAAACTGCATAACCATGTTCGTGATAAAAAAATGATTTTCTATACTTTACGGCGAGGCTGAATCCGATAACTGGACAATGCTAGCAAGGTTGTGCTAGCTAGACAGAAAAAAACAGATGTGTCCTAATTACTGAATAATGTATTAAATGTTTGAGGCTATTGATAAATGTTCATAACAGCATCATGAATTCATAGAATTACACAGTCTTTTTATAGTGTAGTTCATCAATGATCATTATTCTACTTTTGCATGCTCATGCTAAAATAACCTTCAGATTTAAGATTGCAATATACTACCTCGAGCATTGTATGGAACAAGATAGTTCTTTTTTGACTGTATCATCCCGTGCTTTCATAGGAGACATTCCATCCAAAGCCGCATCGAAAAAGCTATCATTTAATCCCATTTCATCAAATGATTGATTACTTGTTTCATTATCATTCTTCAGTTCATCTGATTTTGCATTATTTTCAGTGACACCAAAATTCAGTAACAAATTGTTATCATTTTTAGGTTCACAATTTTCGACATTTTCCTCGAATTCTACGTCTGGATTAGGCATTTCTATTAAAAAAATGGCCAGCTTCTATTTTCTCAATAAATATCCCAAACATTTTGTCATTAATTTCAAACAAAGTTTTGGACATGAATGATATAAGCAGAAAGCAGTTGCAAGTTTTGTTGAACTGTTTGACAGAGGCATCAGTAGTGATATCACCTGTATTATCTTGAAAATTAAAATGATTAAAAATACTTTTTAATGATACGAGAATATTGTGAAATTACATAAAGTAATATACGACCTGGTGAATATAAGATACGAATGACAATGTAAGATATTTAGTTTGAAACAAATTAATTTGTATTTTGTGTCTTATTTTATGACAAAATAACCAGTTAACAATTTTTGCAATTAATGCAGTAATAATATTAGACAATAACTGAAATATATGTCAATATCTAAAGCTGAAGTAGCTATTCAATTTATGAATTCATTGAAATATAGCATGGTTATATCCAATTTTCAAAAATGTTAAAATTACCATTGTCAGTAAGATCAACAATTTTCTCTATTGGTTCTATTTTGCTCCCAAGGTTATTGGTTAATGGAGATCTGCAAGGTTTCTTATGCATTGTAGTATCGGAGAAAACTTTATTCACACTTTGATCATCACCATGAACTCGCTTCTTTGAGATCAGAGAGCTGAAAAAAATTAATAATGTTAATTAATAATTCTTTCAGAAAATTAATGAAAGATTTAAATAAATACGTTCAGTTTTTATCTAACCTATGATCTCCATCATCACTTGCCACGATTTTCCTTTTTTTCTGCATAAATGATTCAATTCTTCCTTGCTTCAAACCATCCTTACTTCTCAACAAATCAGATGCTGTTTGCTTGACAACAAATGAAGAAATACTTCCTGTGAAGAAAGTTCCTGTTTACATAACTCTACTTTCATACTTTAAAAATATATTATTGTATGACTGTATGAAGAATGCTGGTTGCTCCATGATGGAATATAAACATCACAACATCCAGACATCTGCATATACTTCTGTACCTATATACAGATATCAGCATATATAAAATATTCCAGAAGTACCAAAATATAAAATCATTCGCTAACATTTATTCTGCAGAATCAACACAGCAACAATCAGGCGAATATTAAATAAGGTGGTATTTTGATAATACTGTTCATTTTGATATCCCTGTATTCAATATGCTGATATGTGTACACTACTGCACTACAGCAGGTATATCAGTATATGAAAACAGAAGAGAAAAACCAGTTAAATATAACAATAGCAAGTTTGAGATATAGGCTAGAAATGTCTAAATGTCCAGGAATCCGATGACTGGACAAGCCTGGCCATCAGTGTTAACTCTAAGGAAATTATAAGTGCGAAAGTGCTTCGCAGTTGAAAAAAAAAGTGCGAAAGTGCTTTTTCTGATTTTAACTAGTTAGGTGCCCTAGCTTTCGTTTAAACTCATTTCAAACAGCATAGATACTCGAAAAAGCGCTCCTTCCGTTAATATTGTGAATTGAAGTCTTTCCGTTAACGGAGTTTCGTTTAAACTCTTGTTAAAAACAAGCGAATTCATCAAAGGACACCTGATAAGCACACTTGTCGGGAATAAAAGTTTCGTGCAATCAACCACCAGCGTCAGTAACGAAGCGCACTCCCGCCTGAACAGACAAGCCTTGCAAACTTGTTTCTTCCATCTAACAGACACCGATTGATACATGCAGATATTAGTTACTACCGGCCATAGCTAGGGAGGGGGATCATTTGTACAAAACCCGGGCAAAATGACATCCCCATGACCCATCATTAGTATAACACGCTTCCTCGTCCGAAAGAATATGCTTGAAAGTAGTCCGCCCTCTTCCCTTTTAAGAGATTGGTTAACGTCATGTTTCTCCGGCCAGTTTTTCTTTGGGAAATAACACAAGATCACCATGAAAGTACGGCTGTTTTTATAGATAGAGTGACCTACTTTCTATCGAAGATTTTTTTTCCGAAATATTACGCAAGATCACTTTGAAATCCCTTTCATGAGCTAGCTTGGCCTAATTTATATTATTATACTGTCTCACGGATTAGGCTAAGACGTGTAATTTTCAAATATCGACTTGCATTGGTTTGCGTGCCAGTTAGTTCAAATCGGGTAGAAAACATCATATATTTGCAATTTTTTTTAGGAATGCCATGTACTTCCAGCATTTATAAATAACGCTCTCTCTAATGCTGCAGACCTAGTATGAAATATTCGCATCTCAACGCCACTTTCAATTACACTAATAGTAATGATGACACCAAAGAGTTTTCCTTTGCGAAGGTACAGGAAATACAACAGGGTGATTCTTGAAAAAAACATGAATGTAAAAAATAAACGAATGACATGATAGTGGTTCCCAAATAATTTTGAGTGTGACGCGAAATACCAATCCATTTGATAAATCTTTTTAGTCGACCACGTGAACGCCGAAATCCTGGAAATTAAAGTTGAAAGAGAAGTACGCGTTCTCACATAAATAATCGCGATATATAATCGTTCATGTGCACAAATCTCACATGTAGCATCGGTTAGTTATGCATGAAATGTAAAACTCTTATGTGTGTGCGTTTCAATTTCAATAAAATCAAATTCGTTTTTCCCTGCACCATTACTTGTAATTTTAATATTAATTGCGTTCCGAGTTTGTAAAGTTTAGAAACCTCTTGTATATACCATTACCACTATTTTGATTGGCTAAAGAAAGATAACACGTAACCGCTTTTCGGCAACATGGTATTCGTTTTATATCTGCTTTGAACAGAGAAAAAAACATGTGCCCTCTCAGTCATCTGATCACAATCGAAAATCCGTATTCATTTTTTTCGCGATTTCGGCAATCGTTATTATTAAGGGTTTTCGTCGACTGAAAAATAAACATCGTTCTGTTAATTATATATTTCAGGCCATGTTCTTTATATCCTGCCATAATTAGCAAATCTTTATTAAGCAACCCATGATTATAAAATAGCTTTGCTTATCATTTGCTGCTGAATCTTGTGCTATCGCTTGTCAATTATAGCAGAGACGTAAGGAACATATTCAAAATTTTCCATGTTTATACAGAAATTAGCGACGTTATCAGCGCCAACTAACAGAAAATAACTTATCATAAAACACAATTAAAATTCAGTCGGTAATAAATGGCGCTAAGGTGATGCCATGCAGAACAAAAAGATTTGGTCGCGAGAGTTACCTTAGATGACTGTATAACGATGTTGTTTTATAAGCGGAAGGTAGAACAATCAAATTTAATAGAAAAAAAAAAACGGGGGTTACGACACCCGTAACACATCAAGTTCATTAGACATCTCTAAAGACTTCTAAGTTGGTTACTCGATTACACTATACTATCAATATTACACTTATTACACCTGTTTGAGTATTCCGGACAATTTCGAACTTGAAATAAACGAAAACTCAACATATCATAATTAATACACAAAAGTAAAATAAACATTCATCGAAAAAGTTATTATTTAAGAACAACAACATAATCGTATAATTCCGCCCAAACCCCGATGTTCGCAAGTGTGATGATAAATAAATACTTTCCGTGTATTCGATAAATCAACTTCTGCAAACAGTCTTGGTGCAAAATATTTCCATCCAGTGATATGCTTACAAATATTCTCTGCGTTAATATCATAACCTCGCCTATAGGACTGGGCAAAATATTCGTATCGTTTCAATTCCATACTTTGCGCCAAAAAAGGTACCAACAAAGCTTCCTAATTTTAGAAGAGTCAAAATAAATAGACTATTCGAAATAAATATCCCAGATTTCTAACTCCGTATATTGGCAGCATGAATTAGCCGTTTCGTGTAGGAGCCGCACATACAATTGATTGTCGAAAATTAAAAGTTAAATTGACGTTCCGAGAGCCCACACATGGTATAACATGTACAGGCTATACCCAGAAAAAAATGACAAGTCATAATCCTTTTAATGTGCTTTCAATTAGCTCGTTAGTGATCCCTCCCATCCTTGGCCAAGTAATGTTTCGAAAATGTGAACCTTCCACTCAGCCATGCATGGCGGGTGGAGTGTTGAAATCGTGAACAAGAGTATAACGTAAAATCAATCGTGAATTTCGATGTAACAACGCACACTGTCGCCGTCATGAATTGCGCCTATTAACATCGGAAATGATTAAATTCGTGATATTTTGAGTATTTTTGCACCAATAATTAGGGCGTGATTATCAAAATGGTGAATTTGCAAATTCCGTAAATAAAATTGTAACATTTTAGCTAGTATTATCACCGGGCAGGGGCGCAGCCAGGATTTTTTCAACGGGAGATTAGGGGGAAGTTAAAACATTACACCAAAACTGCAATTCGCGAAGACGTAATGCGTTTATAACTAAAATGTAAGGTCGTTCAGGGCGAAATTTCGCAGTTACGTGTAGCCCGCCTTTCTTTGCCCAACGGTACGAAGTCCTATTTTAAAACATCGACCATTTATCCGTGGTCAGCAGGCATCCGCATCTAGAAATGAAACATTAAAAATCGCGAAAATTAAATTTGGAGAGATCTATAACTCGCAGATGTCAGTAGTGTCATCATGGTTTATATGTACAAAAACACGCTCGCATGTAGCGACGATCAAAATCATGAAAATGTGAAACTATTACTTGAAAATTATTGTTAATGAAGTTAAATTTTTATTGCCATTCAATGATTATTTCATAATTTTGTCATAATCGAAGGCTGCAGTAAATTTTTTGTCGCCGCAATCGTGTTGTTAAACTATATTAAAGCATGTTTTTATTCACTAGCAAATATTAATTCTCACGTAACGGCGGACATCGTAGTTTGGATTTTATATTTCGGATAGAATTGTGAATTCACATCGGCGAAGATTTTAAAGACAACTATTAATGAGCGCATTCACAACAAAAATTGATTTTGTTCTGATTTTTATCTTCTGTGTAGGATTTGTATCAGTTCGTAAATTACCGTCCCGAGTTTAAGCGAACAATAATATTATTACTGACCCCGGAATGCGATATTTGTGAAGCAGATAGTTGACATTTCTATGATTTTAATTTTAGATCGTGTCCGTGTTACTTTCGTATTAAATAATAATTGAAAGAAAAACTCCGCAAATTGGTTATCTCTTGAGTACTCAGTGTTAAGTATTTACGTAACTCAGCTTTGGGTTAAAACACTGATAGTAACTAAACACGTGAATAAATCGGCAATAATGGCATTTCGACATGGTCAAAATAATATTTCTCACCAATATCTCATGAAAGTTCCATAAAATACATTATTTACTTGTCTTACTTATCGACGTTTCTAAATTTACAAAAACGATGTTGACACGCTTTATACAAAATCGTTTCAAATTTATTGTTTCTACATGTTAGCGATAGCCGTCTGGTTAATTCTTACCCGTAACTCATTGTAAAGTAATGTTAATAAATTGTGTTTTGCATTCCAATTCGCGGTTAACCGCGGTTAAATTCGTTTCATGGTGAGGAAGGAAAATACGTTTTCCGGAATTGCAATCAACAATTACACATTTTTTATTTATCATTATTAGTACCGAATAAAAAAGATAACATATCGTGAAGACGAAAAAAGTCGTTGAAACTTGAGTTGAATTAGTTGCAATTAGCGCCTGATTAGGCACCAGAGCACTCGAGCCCAATGTTTTTAGCATTAGTCACATATGTAAAATATCCTTAAAAGAAGTGCTGTTTATTAAAGTCATCTCGTCTTATGGCCACGCACAAATGCCTTCATTGCCGAATTATTTAATCACAATTTTAAATCAACATTCAGGATTAGCACAATCTCAGATTTGCGAGGTTTATCTGTAAATTAATACAGACACCATAAAAAAATTATAAAAGTTAATTATCGTCTTAAATATCTGCATTCCGGCATCGATAATAATAATACCCTTCGCTTAAAATTGGGACAGTAAATTTACAAACGTTGATAGGTAATATCAAGTCAACGCAAATGTTTATTTTGGTTTTAAAATTTGTCGTTAATCCCTTAACAGCTGTTGCCGATGTGAACGCACGCGTAAGCCTGGATTGCCCAAAACGATTGCGGTGACAAAAACAATTAGCTATTATAACGAAATTAACCAGTAGAAAAGGCTTCCTTGCTAATTTTTCGACCGACGTTCTAGACTCCTGCTGTGCATAAAAAATATTCCTTATTCGTTAAAAATATTCAATTCGAAAAAATATTCGATTTTGCCCACCCCTACTCGCATATTAATGAGGAAATAGTTTAGATTGATTTTTGACCCTGGTCTGAGTTTGATTTATCGTGAATGACTAGACTAGCTAATACTGAGCTAATATCGCAAAATTCCGCCAAACGCCATTTGCTTTTAACATTCGTGGTTACAATAAAATGGCTGTTAAATGTTAATACGACGTATGTATTTTGTCAATTTGGCGATTTTGCAAATCTGTGAGATGCTGCTAAAAGTTTCTTCTAATTTAACAAACAATGGCCCAAGTTTACATTCCATTACTAAACAATGTCGTGTCGAGTATCAGAAATTTCTGAATGGCTCCAGTAAATTCACTAAGAAGAGAACACAAACCTGTCAAACCAGTACTAGAAAATCGTGTACTTTGGTCACAATTCATCGATGTCATTGACAGTCACACGACCACTCTCGTTTAGAGAAGCGCACTGCCTTGCAATCGGACATCTGGTTTCAAAGACGCCGCTGAGCGTTTTCGTGGTCCAAGCGGAATCGGTGTGCTTGTATAATAATCATATTATAAACAAGAATTTTGCCATTAATGCAAAAGCTTTATCTTCCATGTCTTCACCACATAGGTTAGAATTCCGGTAAATATCGTTATGATATGCAGAATTGAGTTACAAAAGTACTAGTATGTTACTTATTTGTCAACTTAATACGCACACAAAAATATTTGTCAACTTTGAATTTTTACTCCATTCAAAATCGAAAAAAAGTGCTATTTCTCTTCAAAATCGGAAAAAAGTGCTATTTCGCATTCCCTAAAAAAAGTTGCGAAAGTGCTTCGCAATTTTCGCAAAAAAGTGCGCTAATAGTGAACACTGCTGGCCATACTGCCATACATCAACAGAAATTGAGATTTAGATCTACTTTAAACAGACCGACTTTTGCAAATAAATTTCTGAATTCAGCGATTATCGCAACAAAGTACTGTTCAGAATCCAATATATTAGAACTGTAGTAGCCTACCATTATCTGATTATACCGTACCCTGATACACCAAAGTTACCCCAGCCCACGATACCTGTACGAACCATGATAAGATGAGTGCGTTACCTTGTTTCTTCATAGCATTGCCAGTATTACTTCTCAATACTTTTTTAGACATCACAAATTTTGAACAAAATCTCCCAATTATCAGGATTCCTCTAGTTCATGAATAAACTATATTGAGTGAATACGAAATTGTCGTGAAATATTGGTAACCTAACATGATATTTGCACACGATTTTGATCGAGGCGCCAAAATAAAAGAAGGGGAATTCCCCTAGACGCGCCAAAGCCCAAATATGTTGGAATAGCAGCGACCGTTAGCGGCATCCCTTCACTCTCTCTCTCTCTAGATCAGGGATGAGCCATATTTTTGGACCAGGGCCAAAAAAGTTTTCCCATTTGGACGGGCGGGCCATGTAAGTTTGACGTAAAAGTTAAGTTTAATGAATAACGGTGTTACAAAAGCAAACGTGGACAACAATAACAATCGACTTCAGTCCTGCTCGAACTCGAGTTTGGTCTCTGAATACCCATTTTACACCGAAGTCCGACTCACGACCAAGTCAAGTCCGACTGGGTACTCAAGTGGCCTTTCAAACTACGGCCCTAAGTTTCGTGCCCCAAACTAAATTCAAGCTTGATGAATCCTTGAACTTTGGTTTAGCTCAGGGGTATGCAAACTGCAACCCACGTGCCAATTCAGTCCCGCAATGAAAATTGCGCGACCCGTAGACAAGTGCCAATTTTAAATGGTGTGCGGCCCGCGAAACGAGAGTTTATTTTAGTTTAATTTGTTACGTGTGAGCAAGTTCAGTCCTCAGTTTGAGTTGCAAAGATTACTATGCCTGTGTCTGATTTATTATCTATAGCCTAGTCCAGGGTGGTTCAAACCTGGCCCGCAGCATCATTATCTGTGGCCCGCGTCACATTTGCTGAATAGTAATCAACAAAAAGATCGCATTTGCTGTTGATTCGTCTTTGAAATTCTTTTGGCATTTTGTACATCACTGATGTCATTGAGTTGACTAGGTCGCTAGTACTATGGCGAACTGAGACAACCAGCGGAGTTAAATGGTGTGCTTGGTTAGCCTAAAGTGTTAATTAACTTGGTTGTCGGGAATATCCGCTAATAGAAAATTTAATACCGAATGAGGATACCATCAGCATAGGTTGGCTATCACATGTCTACTGATAGCAAAATTTAGTAATCAATAAATCTGCAGTGATTTATATGTTATTTGTAAACATGACTTCAAAAAGATAGCTGATCAATTTAAACAAATTTTTATCTAGTTATACGCAAGTAAAAATACCACAATGCAGGATAAGAGTCATTCTGCACACTAACACAAATGTATTTCTTTAATGTTTCGTCTGACCAAAATCAGACTTCCTCAGACAAGCAGTTTACAACAATGGATAGGATTTACATATTTATCCCGGGGGAGAGAAAGCCGATAAGACGGCTTATTCATAGACATATGGCGAAACAGGGCCTCTCGTCCGGTTATCATTACAAGTCGGATATGGGGTTAGTTAGTTATTTTTTGTTTTCGGACTTAATGGTGGAGGAAGCCGCAACCGACCAGCGGTTACGTGAACCAACCTACGGCGGCGAGAAGTCCAGCAATCCTCTCGCACATAACTATCCGTTAATAACTATCGTTTCCAATTAAGTTAATGTGTAATATTGAGTGTCCTGTTTGCTATATTTCCTACTTAATTTCAGCTGCAAGTTGTCGCTGACTAGATGACTCTCCGAGTCTTTTCGCGACCCCGCGTCAACTGCAACAAGCCGATAACTGTTTGTCATTTTGTTACATTATTTATTCATTTTTCATATCGCGCATTGTTTTTTGCATGACGAAAATAAATATCCGAATCTGAATCTATCCCCGCATGGGATTCAAACCCACGCAGAGTAATCAGAGGTGCGGTGGAGAGCGTATTCCTAACGCTTAGCACGATGAGCCAAACCGCCGCGCCAATGACAAGAAAAGAACTTGTTGCAGGACTCTTGAATTGCATAGTATGGTCTTTTTTGTGACCGCAAACGTGGTTGGCCAAAAAGATGCAACCGATAAGCCACTACGTGAACCAAGCAGACTTTTTAAATCTTTGCTATGCTATATAGCAGTGGCGGCGCGTGGTCATTTTGACAACCGGGGCAAGCTACTGCGGGACCAAGTCACCCCCATCTACGGGGACAGGATGAGCGCTGTAAGTTCTCCCATCATTTTATGAGTATAAGAACCATTCCATCGGTAACAACCAATCGGCAAAAGCGACAATTTTTAACGACAAGAAAGTGTCTTTAAAACCGGTCCAAGTCAAGGGATTAATAAATATAGACATAGTTTATTTTGAAACCTCTTTCAAAAGGAAAGGCAATATTTACCCAGATAAATACAATGACATATTAACAGAAACTTCGGGAAAGCAGACAAAACCTAAAATAAGGTTTAAAACGTTATATGAATAAAGGAAAGTAATGCAAAGATAAGGACATGCGTCGCTCACTCATAGATATATATGCTGCTAGACTTTCTACTGCTTGAACATATATGCAACACGCCGCGGTTTCTTAGAAGCAAAATGCTCAATAAACGCGCTGATTAAAGTCATGCATCCCAGAAATAACGTCTCTGTGAATGGATAAAACAGCCAAGGAATTTAATCTATCTTGCTTCATTGTGTTTCTGAGATACGTTTTAATACGCTTCAGCGTGCTGAATGTTCGCTCTGCGTCGGCGGAAGAAATAGGCGTCGTCAAAATGATGTCCAGAAATTTTGCAGACGCCGCAAAGGTAGTTACTAGAGTGTTATCTATGAGGAACCCATAGAGCGCGCAAGTTGATGTGATGTTCAAAAAAGTTTGATTGGTTTATATACATCGCAATTCATTTTCCAATTCACCCACGTTTATCATGGGGTAAATTTGGAGACAGTTAGACAACAAATGGATGGGAAATTGACGTGCAAATTTTTGAAAAATTTTTGGGGTTCATCAAAGAGAACGCGGCAAGGTGTTCAGTGCGCAGACGATCGCCTATTTGATTCACCAGAATGTCACAGCATTCCTTTGCAGACAAAATCAAACGCTGCGTTTGTTTGCCCGCGGCGTAAAGAAGCACTCCATGTGTCGTCGTATTTTATTGTTTCCCGGATACGAGATACAGCATCGCAGAAGTTCTGAAATACACGACTGCACAGACGCTCCATCCATTAGCTTGACTGCAATGCGCCGTATAATACATCCACGTGATAGAATATTGTGGAGAAAAATGGAAAAACTCCACTCATTCTCTAGCAGACGCTTTAGACCTGCCGCCTCCCTCACAGAGCGTTCGTCCCAAACCGAGAGCTCTGAATGCCATTGAAACACTCAATGAGCTCAGACCTAATTCGGACACGCCCTGCACCACGCGTGATTGGGAAGTTCCAACGTGTGGTGCACAAGCTGGGAGACGGCGGCCTACATATCTGGCGAAGGAGGTCAGAGCGCTTCGGCGAAACGGAAAGAAATGAAGAAAACCCCGAAACATTTGCAAAAAATATACGGACGAGAGGGGTATCAAGACACATATTTTTAATAACGAGGTTAAATTGGGTGTGCCATAACAATGTTAAAAAATGCGCATGAGGAAAATCTTCTTTTATATAAACTTGAACACCATGTTTCCGACCACTCATTGACTGCCCGCGCCGTCATAAGTTTGAGCTATCAATTTGACTTCGCGTTGTAAGGCTGTAACACTTCTTTCAGTACAGCCGATATCCCGCAAAGCCGTGCGACAACGATTGGTACAAAGCTGTGAAATCTTCGGTAGGTTTACATCTTTCACAAACCGAAAAATCACAGCCAGTTGGGAAACGCACTGATGTCAGTTGTCTCGTCAGACTGAATCGAAAGGAACTGGCAATTCTCAATTTCCCAGAGCCAAATGTTGTAATAAATTTTATACATTGAGTCGAGCAAATCATTTTGGATATCCTTAGATGTCCCTTTCGAAACAGTTGCGGCATCAAGATGATCTCTCAATACTGTATCTAGGGATGCGGTGTATTCCACCATATCCAAAAATACCCCTCTATTAGAAGAGCCAGCCCGTTCATCGTGCCCACGGAGGGACAGCTCGTGACAACCAATGAACTTCAAAACATCTATCAATCGACCGAGAACATGGCGGTTTTTCTCGACGTTTTGGTTGTGCCGACGAATAGAAACCGCGCGTCCTTCATCCAACTGTGCTGCAATATTAACATTTCCGAATGTTCGGTATTTTACTGCATTGTCCAGATGCTCCATAGAAGATTGATGATCCCTGGCACGCTCGGAAAGATGTTTAAGATCTCTAAACGGAGTCACCCAACGTGAGTCACGGGCGGTCGCAAAATGTAGGCAATAAAAACAAAAAAGTGCATTTTTGTCCTCGCTGTAACACAACCATTCGTGTTTTTTATACCAAGTTTCTGCGCAGAATGTACGCCGACGCTTTCCTCCGTCATGGGATTGTTCCAGTGAACAATTTTTTTGGTTGATAAGGCCCAAGACGTTGTACCTCTAATTTTTGTTCCAGCGGCAGCTGCGAAAAACGGAGTTGCGAAGTAGTGCATCAACCTTATTCATTATGAGGTCTAAGGCTAAGAAATGCGAAGCCGGAAAGAAGTGAGGAGCTCAAAAGAATGTGGAAAATCGGAAGCAAATGGACTAAAGGTCTCTAACGATTCAAATAGCGAAACAAGCGACAAAAACGAAGGCGAGGAAACTATCAACTCTTCAAGCAACCACGAACGAGAAGGAATGCGTGAATATGTCAACACGTTGTTGTAAGAAACGTCGGCATTGTGTCGTCATAATTTCGGGGCTAGCCCGATCGGCCCCGATGATTTAGTAAAAGAACAGAAAAACAAACGAGACAAAGCGCGGCGAGTGGAAGATAAAAGAGAGAATACGATATACAATGAGCAACCGGGGCAAAATCGGCGTCGCCCCGTCGACGTTCGGCGAAGGCTTTGCGAGCGAAAAATGAACCATGTCGGGAGAATATGGCTAGTGTAGACAGTCTGTGCAACCGATATTGAGGTATTTTTCGAATATTTTTTATTATACCGAAAAAACAACCGGGGCATTGCCTCGGTTGGCCCTATTGACGCGCCGCCACTGCTATATAGTCTTAAGTATTTTTCGGGATTTTGGTGCGATTATCCCTGCCATCTATCTATATCCAAATGCCTGTTATTATTATCACGTACGTGTCAAGTCTT